AAAGATATATAGACCAATAGAACAGCATGAAGAGCCCAGAAACAAGCCCTCATATATATATACTCCAGTGATCTTTGACAAGGGTGCCAACATAACACAAAAGAGAAAGAATGGCCTCTTCAATAAATGGTGCTGGGAAAACTGGATATCCACATGCAAAAGAATGAAAATGTACCCTTGTCTTATACCATATTCAAAAATTAACTCAAAATGGAGATCTAAATGTAAGACCTGCAACTATAAAACTACCAGAAGAAAATATAGGAGGAAAAGCTTCATAACACTAGAATAGGCAATGGTATCTTGGATGTGATACCAAAATAATAAGTAACAAAAGCAAAAACAGACAAATAGAACTACATCAAACTTAAAACTTCTGTTCAGGGCTGCCTGGGGGGCTCAGTCAGTTAAATATCTGCCTTTGGCTCAGGTCATGATCCCAGGGTCCTGGGATCGAGTCCCACATCTGGCTCCCTGCTCTGTGGGGAGCCTGGTTCTTCCTCTTCTCCCTGCCAGTGTTTTCTCTTGCTATCTCTGCCTTTCTCTCTCAAATAAATAAATAAAATCTTAAAAAAAATATTTTTTTAATAAATAAAACTTCTGTTCAGCAAAGGAAACAAAAGAGTGAAAAAGCAACCCAGGAAATGGGAGAAACATTTGCAAACCATAATCTGATAAGGGATTAATATTCAGAATATATAAAGAACTCAACTCAATAATTAAAAAAAAAAATTTAATGGGCAAAAAACATACATTTTCCCAAAGATATACCAAGGGCAAACAAACATATGAAAAGATGCCCACCATCATCATCATCATGAGAAATGCAAATCAAAACTGCAATGAGATATCACTTCAGACCCCTTACAATGGCAACTAGCCAAAACCAAAACCAAAACCAAAGAAAATAACAAGTGTTGGTGAAGATGTGGAGAAATTGGAACCCTTACCCACTGTTGGTGGGATTGTAAAATGGTGCAGCAGCTATGGAAAACAGTATGGAGGTACCTCAAAAATGAAAAATAGAACTGCCATATGATCCGGCAATCCCAGTTCTAGGTATATATCCAAAAGAATTGATTTTATTTATTTATTTGAGAGAGAGAATGAGATAGAGAGAGCATGAGAGGGGTGAGGGTCAGAGGGAGAAGCAGACTCCCCGCCGAGCAGGGAGCCCGACGCGGGACTCGATCCAGGCACTCCAGGATCACGACCTGAGCCGAAGGCAGTCGCTCAACCAACTGAGCCACCCAGGCGCCCTATCCAAAAGAATTGAAAACAGAATCTCCAAGAGGTATTTACAAACCAATATTTATTATGGCATTATTCACAATTGACAAGATGTAGAAGCAACCTAGTTGTTCAACAACAGATAAATGGATAAAGAAAATGTGGTACATAGATAAGAAGGAATATTAATTGGCCTAAAAAAGGGGGGGGGGGAAGAAATCACATCATAGGCTATAACAAACATGAACCTTAAGGACATTATGCTCAGTGAAATAAGCTAATCACAAAAGAAAAAACTGCATGATTCTACTTACATGGAGTATGTAAAGTAATCAAACTCATAAAAACAGAAGTAGATGTGGTTGCCAGATACGAGGGGAGGAAAAAATGGGGAGTTGTTGTTCAATGTATACAGAATCTCATTCATGCAGGATGAAAAAGTTCCAGAGATCTATTGTACAACAACATGTATATAGTTAACAATATCATAATGTACACTTAAAGTTGTTTAGAGGTTAAATTTGTGTGTTTTCTACAATAAGAAAGAACAGTGAAGAGGAGAAAAAAACAAAAAAAGAAATTACTTCTAAAATAAAGATAACATGAATGTTTATGAAGAAAGCACTGAAGAATCTACAAAATAGCTACATGGCCTAATAAATGAGTTAGCAAGATGCATCTTTTCCATGCTATTTAGTGCTATATTTTTCACACTTTTGTGCTTTTTGTTGCCGATTTCACCGTTTCAAATGGCCCCCAGCATAGTGCTGAAGCGCTGTCTTGTGTTCCCAGGGCAAGAAAGCTGCAATGTGTCAAATGGAAAAAATGAATCTAACAAAATACATACAGGATATTTATCCTGAAAACTACAAATTACTGATGAAAGAAATCAAAGATGACGAAAACAAATGAAGAGAAGAAAAAAAAATGAAGAGACCCGCTGTGTTGAAGACTCTTTCTTAAGGTTTCAGTTCTCCCCAGCTGATCTATAGATTTAATACAATTCTATCCAAAATCCCAGCAATCGGGTTTTTTTGTAAAAAAAATGACAAGATGATTCAAAAAATTTGTAAGGAAAAAAATAATAAAGTAACAATAAATTTTATAAGGAAAGGCAAAGGAACTGCAATAGTCAAGATAATTTTGAAAACAAAATACAAAGTTAAAGGACTGACACTATCTGACTTCAAGACAGTATAAAATTTCATAATCAAGAGAGTGAGGTATTGGCAAAAGGATTAACATATAAACCCATGGAAAGAGAACACAGTGTAGAAATAGACCCAAGCATAATATAGCCAACTAATTTTCTACAAAGTCGCAGATTCAATGCAACTTCTACAAAGTTGCAAGTCAATGGAAACAGGATAGTCTTTTGAACAACTGGTGCTGAAACAACTGGACAGTCATATGAAAAAATAAGAACCAATACCCCACATCTTATATAAAAAAACTAAATGAATCACAGACCTAAATGTGAAAACTGAAACTACAGAAAAGCTATAAGAAAAGTTAAGAGAAAAATCTTTGTGACCTTGGTTTCTTAAAAGTTTTCCTAGGGACAACATCAAAAGTATAATCTAAAAAACTATAAAAAAGAAAGAAAATAAATTGGCCTTTAACAAAATTTTTAAATTTTGCTCTGTGAAAGACACTGTAAAGAATATAAATTTTGGGAGCTTGGGTGGCTCAGGCGTTAAGCGTCTGCCTTCAGCTCAGGTCATGGTCCCAGGGTCCTGGGATCAAGCCCCGCATCGGGCTCCCTGCTCTGCGGGAAGCCTGCTTCTTCCTCTCCCACTCCCCCTGCTTGTGTTCCCTCTCTCGCTGTGTCTCTCTCTGTCAAATAAATAAATAAAATCTTTAAAAAAAAAAATTTTTTTTAAGAATATATTTTTTTAAGATTTTATTTATTTGAGAGAAAATGAGAGAGCACGAGAGGAGGGAGGATCAGAGGGAGAAGCAGACTCCCTGCTGAGCAGGGAGCCCGATGTGGGACTCGATCCTGGGACTCCGGGATCATGACCTGAGCCGAAGGCAGTCGTTTAACCGACTGAGCCACCCAGGTGCCCTGACACTGTAAAGAATATAAAGCCACACACACACACACACACACACAAAACAAACCACAGACTGAGAGAAATAAATGACAAGACTTATATCCAAAATATATAAAGAATCTATACTTAAAATTCAATAAGAAAACTAACTTATTTTAACATGAATAAAACATCGAATAGGCACTTCACTGAAGAAGATATGCAGATGGCAAATAAACACATTAAAAGATGCTCAATATTATTAGACCTTAAGGAAATGCAAAATTAAAATCACAGTGTGGTACTACACATCTATTAGCATAGCTAAAATAAAAAATAACTGAGAATACCAAATATCAGAATTTTCATACATTGCTGGTGGGAATACAAAATGGCACAGCCACTTCGGAAAACAGATATGCAGTTTCTTAGAAAAACATACGCTTAACATAACAACCCAACAATCACATTACCAGGTAATTACTCAAGAGAAATGAAAACTTACACTACTTAAAAAACTTTTTTGTGGGCGCCTGGGTGGCTCAGTTGGTTAAGCGACTGCCTTCGGCTCAGGTCATGATCCTGGAGTCCCTGAATCGAGTCCCACATCGGGCTCCCTGCTCGGCAGGAAGTCTGCTTCTCCCTCTGACCCTCCCCCCTCTCATGTGCTCTCTCTCTCATTCTCTCTCTCAAATAAATAAATAAAATCTTTAAAAAAAAAAAAAAAACTTTTTTGTGAATGTTTATAGTAGCTTTATTCATAATCACCGAAAACAACCCACATGTCCTTCAACTGGTAAATGGATAAATAAATTATGGTACTTCATTACAATGGAATACTATTCAGTAATAAAAAGGAATGAACTACTATTAGATTCAAAAACATGGACGAATGTTGCTACAGACTGTATCCCCCCCAAAATTCATATGTTGAAATCCTAATGCCCAGTGTGATGGTATTAGGAGTAGGGCTTTAGGTCATGAGGATGGAACTCTCATGAAAGAGATTATGGCTTTTATAAGAGACCCCCCCCACCACCACCACCACCTAGCTACCTTGCCCCTTTCACCGAGGGAGGTTACAGTGAAAGATGGCCATCCACGAACACAGAAGTGGGTCCTCTTCACCAAACACTGAAACTGCTGACATCTTGATCTTGGACTTCCCAGTCTCCACGAGGTAAATTTCTATTGTTTCTAAGTCACCCAGTTTATGGTATTCTGTTAGAGCAGCCTGAACTATACTAAGACAAATGTCAAATGCAGTATGTGAAGTGAAAGAAGCCAAAGACCGCACAATTCCATTTACATGACATTCTAGAAAAAGCAACATTAGCAACGAAAAACAGTTCAATGGTTGCCCAAGACTGAAGGTATAAGAGGGACTGACCACAGGGACATAAGGAAATTGGGGGCGAGGGGGTGATGAAACTGTTCCAAATCATGATGGTGGTGGTGATAGTGATTTGGCTATGTTTGTTAAAACACACAAAGCTATACACCAAGAAAAACATAAATGTTACTGTATATAAATTGTATCTCAATTAAAAAACTGAAGGTAAACATCAAAAGAATAGAAATATAATCATTTCCAAACTAGCCAAGGAAAACAAATAAAGAAAACAATCCAACAGAAGACACAAAGGAACAGCCCACTACTATAAATAGAAACAATAAAATGGCAGAAACATAACTAAATAGATCAGCAATCATAATGAATATAGATTAACTCACCTGTTGAGATTCTCAAAATGAATAAACCAAATCCAGTTGTATGCTTAAAAGATAGACCTAAAACAAAATAACATCAAATATGAAATTAATTAAAAGCATGTGAAAACCTCCAAGCATGATTCCATGAAGCCATAGCTTAGTGACATCTTACCCTCAAGACTAAAAGATCTGTACAGTTGACTCTTGAACACAGGTTTGAACTGCACAGACCCACTTTTATGCAGATTTTTTCAATAATTATAGTACTGTAAATGTATTTTCTCATGGTTTTCTTAATATTACCATTTTCCTTTACTGTAAGAATACAGGAGTATATAGGGATGCCTGGGTGGCTCTGTCAGTTAAGTGTCTGCCTTCGCTAAGGTCATGACCTCAGGGTCCTGGGATCCAGCCCCATGACGGGCTCCCTGCTCAGCGAGGAGCCTGCTTCTCCCTCTCCCTCTGCTCTACCCCATCTACCCCCTTCCTCATGCTCTCTCTCTCCATCTCAGATAAATAAAATCTTTAAAAAAAAAAAATACAGTATATAGCACCTGTAACATAAAATATGTGCTAACTGACTACTCATGTTATTGGCAAAGCTTCTGGTCAATAGTAAGCTATTAGTAGTTAGAGAGGAGTCGAAAGTTAAGGGGATTTTCGACAGTGTGGGGGTCAGCATCCCTAACCCCAGCTCTGTTCAAGGGTCAATTGTACTTACATAACCTAAGATTCCAAAGTGCTATTTTATTGCATCTGTTGTCATTTTTTTAACCTCAAAAATTAAGCCAGATTCATGGCTCTTAGGTGTGTTCATTCAGTAAGTTACCTATATCCTCCACAAAATTTAAACACATTGGCAGATGGACCTAGTATAATTTGCAAAGGTGTTATAGTAATGTAATGACAGTCATTAAGTAAACTGAAATTCGGACAAAGCGTACTTTCAGTTGAGTTATAAACTGTTTAATTATCAAGCATAAATGTCACAATTACAATTAAGTTGTTTGCAGAATGTTTTGTACTATAAATCACTCTGGGTACAGTATATACCCCTAAAATTATGACATGCAGCCACATAAATACAAATGCTACTTTCTAGCTGACCCTGTTATATACTAGGAGATAATACTATGGATACTTCTAGGAGGAGGAAGGAACAAATGAGAAAGGAAGAAAGACTGACTGGCTGTGAGTTGAAAAGGTCAAGGCTGGACAGAAAATGAAATGAACAAGGATGAATTTCAGAGATACCCATCCTATATCCCAGCAGGTACAGCTGTATAAATAGAGATAAAGATAAGGGTTTGCTGAAAATAAAAATTAAAACTTTTTATTTGTAAGATTTTTAGCTTTTTTCAAAATACTTTTACATCTGTAATATTACACCTAAACCTCAAAATAATAACATGAAAAAGTACTGTCATCTTTTTAAGATGAATAAAACTGAGGCATGAAGATTAAGACATAAAGATCTTATATAGAAACAGACCCAGAACTAGAATGTAAGTTCTTCTAATATCCATTCCTAGGCCTTTTGCTAGACCCTGTTGACTTCTGTGAAAAGAGGAAGTATAGCCAGTCCCTCATTTACATATAAAACCCACTTACATACAAAACACAATCATAAAAAGTGATTCTATAAGAGCACTACACTGCTATTATAATGAACAGACTTTTCTCAGATCTCATTTAAATAATAAGCTCATCTAGTGCATTCTAAATTATTTCATTTGCAATGTCAAGTGAAAGAAAAACTTAACATTACCCACTGCATCTATCTGCAACAGCTTCAAAACAACAGTGCCATGGTTAATTACTACTTTTCCTCTGCTATCACTCTGCAAAAATACCACATAAAACAACTTCAAAATTTTTAAAAATTACAAACTAATATTTTAAAACATGTATCCATTTTTTTTTCCTTTACTTCAAACATGCACCTCCTTGTTAGCATTGTTAACATGACAACTGACAAACTCCTTTCAAATGACAGTTGGGACAAATTCTGAGAAACACGGCTCAGCGAACCACAACTAAATTGTTCTATTAATGTGTGGCATTCCTAATTAATAATTTTCTCCAAGTACTATCCTCTTGGATTTAAATCTCCACTTCTCGAGCTGACATACTATAATTTTATAATAATGTTACCATAAGTAGGCAAAGAAAAAAATTCTAATGACTAAAACCCCAAAAGATAACCAAGACATATTTAAAACACAAGTAAATGTGATAAGACATACTTAACATTGTGCCAAGCACTCAAATATAGCTAATCTCAAGTATTTTACCAAAACAGTCAAGAACTTTGGGGAAAAAACTGACTGCTAAATGAACATCTGTTACACAGAATTCTTCATTTAAAAGCAAAGTAATTATAGGCTATACTGATCAGAGACATGGATGTAGTCCCCCCCCCCCCCACCGACCAACTGCATGTTATAACAAATGCAATAAAAAGAGGATTCCATACATAATAGGATTTTTTCCTACAGGTTAGAAAAAAAATTTTATTTAAAATTTTAATTAAATGGAGGGACACCTGGGTGGCTCAGTCGGTTAAGTGTCTGCCTTCAGCTGAGGTCATAATCCCAGGGTCCTGAGATCTAGTCCCCACATGGGGCTCCTTGCTCAGTGGGGAACCTGCTTCTCCCTCTGCCTGACACTCCCTGCTTGTGCACCCTCTCTCTCTCTCGCTCTCTCTCTGATAAATAAATAAATAAAATCTTTAAAAAAAATAAACGTTTAATTAAGTGGAAAAGTATTATCATGTGGGATCTATATTTATTATGAAGTTTAGACTGGGTTTCAATAACCAAACCTGTGAATAATTTAATAAATTGTATTCTTGCATCTACTCCTGAGAATTCTTAAGGTTTTCCTTCCTCTCTTTCTGGAGAAATTGAGCAATCACAGTCACAGCAGGTAGAAACAACTGAAGAGGGGAAGTGTGAGCTGGAGAGCACCATTTCCCAACTGCTCATACACAATGAACAGCCCCTGATCCTCAAGAACATCATTGTCCAAGAAAAGAAAAAAAAATAGGGAAAGGTATGTTTTTTAAATTGTACATTAAGAAATGTTCATACCATCACTTCTTTGACTCTCCAAAACGAATCTTAAGAAAACAATCAGAAAGGAGGACAAAGATTTATGTGCCAGAATGTTTATCACTGTTGATATAGTACGGAAAAAAAGAGAAACAATCTAAATGTTCAACAACAGGGGGGGAAAATTACACTAAATTGGATCCATGAAATGGAAGGTTATAGTCTTTAAAAAAAAATTCCTAAAACCCTTTTTAATAATATGAAAATATGTTCACATTTTATTTTGTTAGGAAAAAGGCCAGATACAAAATTACATACATCTTAATCCCCATTAATTTCATAATCATGAAAAAATGCTTTCTAAAAAACTGATTTTATACACACTAAACTTAACACAATAATCTACATTTAAGTTCTTGACTGCAGGAACTGACCAGGAAATTATAATAAAGTAGGAAAATCCTACCATTCACCACAAAGACTTAGACATATTGGATTTATAAGTTAATTTTCAGTCAGCCTCACCTATTCCATTTTTTAAAAACTGAACAAATGGCAGAAGTACCATCCTTTTGGACATTGTATGTGGCATTCAACAAATAGCTGAGACTTAAAAGCACTAACAAATATTGAAATCAGAATCATTCCATGTTTACATTAGCTTCATCTAAAAAGTATGTCTTAACTCACTGGGGATAACTTCAAAATTTTGAGAAGGTATTCTCTGAAAGTTAGGGGGAAAAGTTGTGTTTAATGACTGAAATTAGAAGGAAGTTATCAGTGGGGCTGTTTGTGGATCCTCCATAACCTACTGTAAGGAAAAGACAGAAAGAGAATAGGTTTAGGAGCTTGAATCCCACCTCTGCTGTGTGACTTAGGACACGTTCTTTAACTTCTCAGTCTTAATTTTCTTTTTTTTTTTTTTAAGATTTTATTTATTTATTTTTTTGAGTAAGAAAGCACAAGCAGGGGGAGCAGCAGAGAGAGAGGGAGAAGCAGGCTACTGGCTGAGCAGGGAGCCCCACCCAGGGCTGGATCCCAGGACCCCGAGATCATGACAGGAGCGGAAGGCAGACGCTTAACGGACTGAGCCACCCAGGCGCCCGGTGTCTTAATTTTCTTATCCGTAAAACAAAGATAACAACTTATTCGTAGAACTGTAGTAAGCTTTAAAACTGCCAGCACAAGGTAGGCCACATAGTGAGGAACTCAGGAAATGGTAGTTATAAATACAATCATCCAGCTGGCTAGCGTACAATCTCAATTATGTTAGCTTATCTAAAGTAAAGTAAATACTAGCTCTAAATTCACTGAGAGTTCAAAATGACCATAAAATTAATTATACAAGACAGGAGCCACTGAATGTATCCATCAAGTTGGCAAGTCCTTGAATAAGCAAAAGTACAATACAGTAGTTTAGTTGAAAACAATAGATGAAAAAACGGTGAAAAGACAGACTTTCCTGTTATTTAAAGAGTAACCCTAAAAAGTAAATTAAAACAGGTTAAGGAGGAAACACGTGGAAAAAGAAGAAAGAAGAAAAACCCTATCAGGTACTGGCATCTAAAAAAGGTCAGTAACAGCTTTCACCAGTTAGGGTCCAGTCAGAAGACTGCGAAACTGGGAGGAGGAAGTTCTTAGATAGAGCTGTTTACTTTGTTTTCCTTCTGTTCCCTTTATCAAGGTAGAAAATGATGGTTACACCAGAAATACTAGCTTGAAAGAAAGCAGTAGTACAGTACCCCTATATGTGCCTCTTAAGAGTTAGTAAAATGTCCCAGGTTTTAAACAGCAATTAAATGTTGCAAATCCTGACTAGCAGATTAAATCTCTATAATCCAAGTATTCCCAACCCCTACATACATGCATCAATTCTTGGTTGAATATTTAATAAAGACCTGAACCATGTAACATAGAATCAAAACGTGAACTAAGTTTTACCTCTTAACAAGACTCTTCGTGAAGATACACTCTTCATGGAGGGGGACATTCACAAAAAATTACTTTACCATTTAAAGGGACCTACAAACTCCACAATCCCAGGCACTATGCTCCAACAGTATTTAACTATCCTCCTAGCCAGTAAATGTTCATGCTTCATGAAGTCCTCAGTTCCCCCAAACAAGAGTTTCTTCCTAATCAGGCAAGTAGAAGATAATGGATGAACGCAATCATACAATAAACGACGCTGGTTACATCCATTTTGCGAATTATTCAAGAGGGAAATCAAGTTACAATAGGATGAATCAGCACAAATTCATCATTACAAAATATATATATGTGTATTCCGCTAATGGTGGACTTGGCTTTATATGTAAATTATAACATCTTTATGCTTCAACACATATTTGGGGGTGTGAGTGAAGGCCAGATGGTCGAAGAGTAAGGATATGGATACTGGCTACTACCAGGCCAGGCGATTTCCCAGGGTCGTCACCGATTCGAAGTGACCTGAAGGGCCTTAACAAAAGAAATCATCAAAGCTTGGCACAGGGCCTTAGAAGTAACCGAACACAAAGCAAGTACACACTTGAACACGCTACAACAGTAACAAAATATTTGAGGACCAGGTTGTGGGTCTGTTTTCACCACTGCTGAATACCGACTCCCTCGGTCGGAGCTTCAAACAGCTGAATGAACAGAACGCGGACGTCTACAACTTATTGTGCGATTTGCATTCATTTGGAGAGATAGAATGCAATACTTCCAGAAAATTTTTCACAGATAAACTGCAGCGACAACACTACAAGATACTCTTCTCATAGGCTCCATTAACAAAAATGAGGGCGGGGTGGGGGAGAAGAAGAAAAAGAGAAAAAAAAGAATAATCTCCTCAGAACGCCCGTGAAGACACTTGGGATCTTCAGGGAGCGCTGGCTGAGGGTCGGAAGCAAGGGGGACCGTTCTCTGGGACTCCGAGGCTGGCCCGCCACAAGCCAGCCGACCCGGCCGCGTTTCCCGGGATCCCGCCGGAGCCAACGGAGGATGGCGGGCCGCAAACCGCCAGCTGTGCCGCGGACTCGGGGCGACCCGTTACAAACAGCGCGTTTCCCCGGCGGGCTGCACTCACCGCCGCGCAGCTCGCCCCGCAGGCCGGGCGGGAAGCGGGGTGAGGGGTGGGAGGGAGACGCGATTGTGGACTGTGGAAACGGGGGCATTTCTCTGGGCCTAGCACCGACCTGGGCGTCCCGCCTTCCTCTCGCGCAACAGCGGTCCCTGGGCCGCGCGACTGTAAGAACAGGAGCCGCCACGCTGCGCGCCCTAATCCTTTTTTGCCTCTTCCCGCCCGATTTCCCGCGCGCTGACGCCCCTCCTCCAAACCTAAAAGACTTTTTCGGCCCTGAAAACGCCCCTTCCTCGCCCCCTCCCAGTGCGCGTGAACGGGGTAGCCTTCAGTTCTCGCGAGAGGTTTTTCCCCCCTCCCTCCCCTCTGCCGCTAGTGAGTGCGCGAACGAGAAAGGAGGAGGGCGCTCCAGGCGAAAGCACTGCAGACGCCATTATCCTCTGTTTCTCTGCTGCAGCAACATCGACGTCTTGCCTACGTCCCTCTTTCTTGCGGCCTATAGGTAATTGGGGTTTTTGGCGCTAGGGTATTATAGATCCAGGCATGGGTTTGGCCTCCCTAAAGGCTGCGTTGACTTTTTTCAAGCCCGGCTTTTCTCGGGCCCTTAGCGGCCTCACAATCTGAAGGGAGGCGCCGGCGCGAGGCGTGGCGTCGCCGCCTTCGGCGCTTTGATTGACGCGGCCTTGGGCCAATCGCTTTGCCCTCGCGCCACCGCTAGACCCCGGGCAACCAATTGGGCTCGGCGGCGGGGTAGACCGCGGGGAGGCGGGGGAAGGCGGCGGGGGCCTGCGCTCGTTCTCTGTCTGGCTGTGACCGGCTGAGGCGGCGCGGCGGCACAGGGACGGCGGCCTCGCGCGGTGAGGAGCGGGGCTGGACGAACGGCGCGTGGGGGCGAGGGTCAGAGATCAAGTTTGCCGCTTGAGGGAGGCGTTTGGGGGCTGCTTGGTGGTTGGCCGATTCTCGGAGAGGGAACGTTGCCCGGTTTCCCCTCCCCCCACCTCCGCCATTTCCCTGAGCGTATATCCGCAGTCCGCGTTGTGGTGCTAGAGGCTTCGGGTAATTGCGAGGCGTGTGCCTGTAGGATGAGCTGTAGTTTCGTAGTCCTCCTAGTCTTCAGAACTAGGCACCTTGTGTAGGAAGCAGAAGCGGCCGGCGGGCTTGACCCAAGGGCAGTGGAGAACGCCGTCGCTGTCTTTGTGTGAGTCCCGCCGCACTTGGGCCCTCCCGGCCCGAGCTGGGTGCTTGAGCGGGGGAGATGGAATAGTCGAGGCTGCCTCCGTTGCTTTGTCTCTCCCGCGGTGGGGGGAGGGTGCGGGGGATGAGATCTCGGGACCGCGTGGTGGGTGGGGGAGGGGGGTCCGCGCTCGGCTCCGCCTAGTAGCACGTAGTCGCCATTACGCGGGCCGCCATTTCCTGTCGGGTCTGGGTGAGGAGCGGCGCGGCGCTTCTGCTCTCTCCTTCAGCTTTTTCAACTCCTGTTGTTCGGCTGTTGCTGATCCCCGGTACCGTGCGGGGCCTGGCGGGGGGGGCATGTTTGCGTTCGGCTGGTCGCTCCCATATTTAGCGATTTGAGGAGTGGTGACTGAAGGACCTGAACGGTGAACCGTGGCAACGCTTTCCTTACAAGTAGAGCCCGTCTTTAAGTTCCTTTATCTAAATCTTTCATGCCTCGACATTTAGCTGAGTGATGGGCGGTGAGGGTAGCGTTTCAGTTAGTCGGTTATCGACAAACGTTACAGAAGAACGGGAGCCATGAATGTAGTTCTGGGCTGTCTAGGTATCCGTCTTTTACCTACCAGAGGCCACTGTCGCCTCTTTCTGCTAGTCCTGCGAGCGCTGGTGAAAGGCTGTTTGCAGTCCCATCACTCCGGCGTTAAAGGTGTAATTGTTAGGTTATAGACTTTTAAAACCTAACTTAAAATATTCTTGTAGTGGCAGTATTCGCGTTCTAGGGCTTCATTTGCCCTGTTTGAATAATCGGGTATTATTGGTAGTTGGGGTCTGCTCCTGTATGAGGTTTTAAGATTTAATCTTTTTTCAGTACATTGACCGGATTGTTGGATATAGCTTGAATTTGCCTTCATATTTGTAAACTTTAGAGATTGCGGAGAATGGCATTTCAAGTCACCAAAGGGAAGAAACCCACACGCAATTTAAAAATCCCAATGTAACTAATTTTATACATCCGTAAATGTGTACCTTTAGGGACAAAATTGAAGGCTCTTGGGCTTATGTATAGGTCTTACAGACCTTTGGTCTTTTCTGTATTGTATAAAACAATTAGTTACGGTGGTGGGACTCCCGTCCAGTGGCTAAAAATTGCGTGGTTTTCTTTTTGCAAAAAATCAGATAGGGTCCTTCGGTTTTTGGTTTTTCCTAAGGCGATCATTTGAGAGTGTAAGACCCAGTTTTAGAAAGTTGTTGAGTTTGTATTCAAATCACTGTTCATTAGTATTCAGTAATCAACCAAAAAGCAAAACTGATTTATGTTGGTTTTTATAGGCTACTGCAGCACTAGGGTGTCAGTTGGTCCCGCCCAGAACACTTCAGTTCTGCTCTGCAAGGATATATTATACCTGGTACGTTCTAGAAGCAGAGTCATTTCTTTGCCTTTTTTTATTATTTAGCGAGACACAAAGCTTACTTTTCCAGTAAACCAAATGTACCAGTCTCTCTATCTTTCAACAGATTGGTGTATCCATTTAATACAAGAAAATGGAAACTGAACAGCCAGAGGAAACCTTCCCCAACACCGAAACCAATGGTGAATTTGGTGAGAAGACATTTTAATTTACAATTTTGGGGTTTTCCATTTTGTTAATTTCGTTTAGAACTGTTTGTTTAGTCTGACATCCCTGTCAGATTTCTCTTCACTTTTATTTATGAACTACAGGTAATTGTTATTTGCATTGGTGATTTTAAAGATAGAAACAGTAAAAATACCTTTTCTTTGCATTTTATAATTTTAGTCCTTTGAAGCATTTTGTCACATTGTTTTGTGTTTAGAAAGTATTACTGGAAGGGAACGGGCTTTGACTGAGTTAGCAACAAATCTCCACAAACAGAATGGAGCTGCTTTCTCTGACCTACGAGTTGAAATTAAAATGTAGTTCAATTAAAGGTACTTTTTCTTGGTGATAACTGGTGCTTTCTTTGAAATCTGAACTGTTAATTTCTAGGTAAACGCCCTGCAGAAGATATGGAAGAGGAACAAGCTTTTAAAAGATCTAGAAATACTGATGAGATGGTTGAATTACGCATTTTGCTTCAGAGCAAGGTATAAATTTTATTCTTGGAAATTTAAAAGTGGTTCTTAACCAGAGTAGAAATTAAAATAAGTTCTGGTTTGGCCCTCTGGGAAGCATTCTAAGCCTTACAGATTGAAGAAAGATTTGTGTGGCTCTTTCTAAACAGATCTATAGGCCACGTTATTTTGATAAAACAAAAGCACTTAATATAAAACTAGTCCTTGCAGGTCAAAGTAGCAGAAAGGGTGTAGGTGATGCTTAAAGCATTGGTGGATTAAAGTTTATACCTTGATTACATTGTGGGGAAAACACCCTAGTTGGCGGCTTACTTGATTGATAATACCACATGTCACAATGTGAAGGTACCTGATAATGTTTAAATTGTTTCTGAGAAGAAAACTGTAATTAATCAGTGCTTAACTTCCATGTTCCGTGTACTTTTTGGCATGCTGAATATTCCAAAGCTGTCTTGATGTTTAGTCCCTAAAGCCACAGACTCATTTTTCTTTTTTTAACCTGATGATTTGAGTTTGTGGTCTCTGATAGATTTTCAGCTCTCTGACCAAAAAAAGGAGAGATTAGGTTTTACGGTTTGGGGGTGTTTTTTTTTTTTTTTGCTACAGTTTAAGAACATAGGAAGGCATTAATATAGGAAAAGGAAAAGTAAGCTGCTTGTTTTTTTCTCTCCTCCAGAATGCTGGGGCAGTGATTGGAAAAGGAGGCAAGAATATTAAGGCCCTCCGTACAGACGTAAGTATTAAAGAGTTTAAATACTAAACGAGCAGCTTCAGTTTGTGTGTAGAAATTTAAAGATTTTGCATCATAGAAATCATTTAATAGCCTAGATACAAGCCATTTGTAATAATTGATTACATAGATGATTTCAGTTTGCCATTCCTGATTTAACAAAGCCCAGATTGAGTTTGGGGAGGGGTGGGTCTGTATTAAACCTCTTCACTTTCTGATAACTTCCCACCAAATTATTCACTTCAAGATAACATTTTAATTGGAAAATAACGACAGCGTAAAAACCCTTAATTACACCATTTACTGTGTGTGGATCAATTACAGTATATCAAAACCATTGTAGGTGGCTGATTAAACTCAAATTTTTATTTCCTTTTTTTAATCGTCCATCTGTTTAACAGTTTGCACATGGAGCACAGATTAATTTGAGGTTGCATGATTTAAATATGGGTAAAGAATAGACACTTAATTGGGAAACCATTTGTCAATGCCAAAGATTGTTTGAGTCTTCGTATTTTATAGTGGGTTGACTCTTGTGATTAGACACATTAAATGTTGGTATCACCAGAAGTGAGCATATTTCTAGGACTTGGCTACACCAAAATTACTAAATTTTTTTCTCATAGTGTACATACTCTTTTAATGTTTCCTTGCTAAAGTTGAGGCAAATAATAACTTTGTGTTGAATACTTATTGACAGTATTTCATTTCTCTCTTGGTCGCAGATCTTTGTATGTTCCTCTTGTAAACTGAACTTGAAATTTTGTTTAAAATTTTACTTGCCTGCTAGGATCTAGGAATGCGTTTTAAACCTCCAGGAAACCAAACCTGATCTTTTTAAGAGTTAGGGTTTTTGGTGGTGTGGGAATTTTTGTTTTGTCTTTTATAAACCTCTCTCCTCTTAATCCAGATGTTCTATATAATTATCTGGGTTATTTCCCCATTTCCTCAAGAATTTCAGTAAACTGAGTCATGACAGGTTTTGTGTCTACCCTCATGAGCCAGCCTGCTACTGAAACATCGTTTGTTTTAAAAAAAAAAAAAAAAAAAAAAAATAGTACCATCATTTAAGGTCCTTAAATGTTAAGCCACAGTCAGATATAGAGAAGTCCATTATTGTGTTAGTCTTCAGAACAACTTAAGCTTGTTTCATTAATTGAGAGTATGAGTATAGTTTGTATTAAATTAAAATTTATTGCTTTTCCCCCTTTTCCCTCTCCTTGTTTTTTTGGCCATATATCTCCGTTGCCCATGTACTGGATCGACTTACCCCTGCGTTGCCCACCATGACGTTGGCCCATCCGCCCCTGAACGCCCATGTGAAAACCCTGGTTGGCTATGCCCAAAAATGTGCTCGTTGCCAAACGGGTACCATACTTGACAACTTCTGATTGAATGCCCATGCCCAATGCCAACATCCACGAACGCCAATGACCAATGCAGTACAATGCCAGTGTTTCAGTCCCAGACAGCAGTGGCCCCGAGCGGTATGTCCCAACAGTTTATGCCTCACTGCCTGATTAGAAAGAGAGAAATGTATTTTATTACCTGCCTTTTATATAATTAAATAGTATCCCCTTTAGACGGTGTATTGTTTTTCAAGTTTCTGTCTTATTTTCCCCATTAAGTCTTTTTGTCACTGAACTTTTACCGTGAGTTGCCCACCCAAACGATCCACTAATTTTATTTCGATGGAAGGAGCACAGCTTCAAGTGTTGCATATTTGCTGCATTGTAAATCAAATTGTTACCAAAATAGTCTCTCGCTCTGTCTTTGTGGCCCACCTTGCTTCCCAACATTGCCTGTTCATAATTTTTTCTGATGAAATGCTAACTCTGGTTCACTTTCCTTCACTTCTCATTTGTGTTGTCTTTGTTTTGTCTCGCATTTGTATTTGTTTTCTTGCAGAGCCCATTAGTGATCTAATTTCTAACTGGTATCCATAACCTTACTCCAAATATAATGTTCACCACTTGCATATTCCCCCACTTTTGCCTAAGAGAAGGTGTGCCAGTTTTACCAATGTAACAGCGAGGGTATCCTTAATTAACTTAGTGGTGGCGGGGAACATAAATATTCAACTCTGCTTCAGTTCTGGTCAATTTATTGCCCACTTAATCTGAGCCCTTCCAAGAGCCCATTCTCTCTGTCTCTCTGCAAGTCTCCTAATATTGTTACCATGTCTGTATTGGGCATAAAACAAAATGCATGTGAAAAATCTATAAATAGGCTACTTTAAATGGGGAGATTAAATAATTGTATGTAACTTCTCTGTAAAAGTTTGTATGACTAATGATGATGAACACAAAACTCATTTTTCTTTTCCACCTTTTTTGTACTATCTGGTATTTGTGATGTTTGACAGCATATTGAGTATCAGTGCTGATATTGAAACAATTGGAGAAATTCTGAAGAAAATCATCCCTACCTTGGAAGAGGTAGGCTCTTTTTTTGTTTTTAATGTATTTGGCAATTGAGGAGGGATTGTTGAAGTGTTTTATTGGGGCTAAATGGGGGCGGTGGAGAGACAGTGGCTATAACAGTTTGTAGCAGCAACGTCTTACATAACAAAATGTATATGGTTACTGTTCCACATTGTTTTAAAATGTAATCTGAAAAAAAAATTTTTAATGTAGTCTGGCCACTCCAGAGTAAATACGAACTACCTGTGGTCATGCACATGGGTTTAGCATGTATTTCATGGACTGTGGTTATAGGGGAGGTGTTTTTTTTTTAATTAGAATATTGATTGTGGGACTCTGTTGGAAAGGACTATGATCTAGTTCAAGGATTTTTTTTTAATTCTATGTAATCATGTATTTATTGGGTATATAGGAGAAGGTTACACATTGATTCTTAAGAATAGATAAGCAATTTTTCTTTAACGTTATAGATGTGAAATATGTTGTAGTAGCTTTACCAATATATGCGACAATAGCCTGATCACACTAGACACTTAACCTATTACTCTTATTTTTCTACTTTCAGGGCCTGCAGTTGCCATCACCCACTGCAACCAGCCAGCTCCCGCTCGAATCTGATGCTGTGGAATGCTTAAATGTATGTCATAGTGCCATTGAACCCCACTGAAGTATGGAGCCTGGCCCATAGGATCAATTTTATTTTTAACATAGCGTACTTTTCCCGTCTCTATAGAAAAAGGCTTAAAAACATGATAAATGAATGGTCTTACAACTCACTGTTGACCCTGCTCCATGCTGCAGTGGGAATTAACTACATTTGCAAAGTGCTTTGCAGTCATTTTTATTATGGTGTTATTTGAATGTTAATAATAATTTTGTGGTAACAGCGACATGCTAAATGGCTGCAGTGTGGGTATGGTGTTGCAGGACCTGAAAATAAAATAGTTTTTTAAGGTGGTGCAGAATGTCCTTTTTGGGCCTGGCTATTGAGGATAATAAGCACATAACTGGTAAAGTTATTGAAATATAAATTCAGGTTGCTCACTGCAACAGTATATTGTCATGCTTATAGCAGATAAGTGTGTATTGGGGATTCCTTGATTTGGGACTAAAATTTTATAATTCTCCCTCTGCAGTACCAGCACTATAAAGGAAGTGACTTTGACTGCGAGTTGAGACTGTTGATTCATCAGAGTCTGGCAGGAGGAATTATTGGGGTCAAAGGTGCTAAAATCAAAGAACTTCGAGAGGTAAAAAGCAGTTGTTTTCCTTGCCGTATTACTAGACAATAGTATTTCATACAGAGCTGGGTCAGTGGGCTTCTCTCATTCCCCCTTTTGAGTTCTCTCCTTAAATTCCTTACCACTTCTGTTTATCTAGTTCACTTTTAAAATCTAACAGGCCTGGACATGCTAGGACAAGTTCTTTCGCCAATACCATGGCAAAGTCCTAGAGTTACTAACAGGGTTTTTATGGGAGGGGGGTTCCTGGATGTGAATGTAAATTTTTCTGAACCCAAGAAACTTTATTTTCTTTTTCCCCTTCTGATTAACGCTTCCCCTTTTTCGTAAACTTACCACAGAACACACAGACAACAATCAAGCTTTTCCAGGAATGCTGTCCTCATTCCACTGACAGAGTCGTTCTTATTGGAGGAAAACCTGATAGGGTTGTAGAGTGCATCAAGATCATCCTTGATCTTATATCAGAGGTATCTTCAGAATATTTTATTTACATTTAATTCCATGGAACAGATGTTTTATTCTTAGTTTCACAGTGTTGAGACAAATGGTTTTTATTTGTCCTTACTCTTCAGCTAATTTTTTAGCTATCACTTCAATTTAAAAATTTGAGCCGGGGGAGAGGTCATTTGATCATTGGTGAGGATTTTTAATAGCCTTTGGTCCTTCAAATGAAGTTTCTATAGTTCCTCTATAGTACCACATTGCACAGCTTCCCACCTGTGCTTCAGTATGAGTTACAGACTTCTTATACAAGATACTGATTGCCTCAGTTCTTGAGATAGTTACTTTGTTCTTTACAGACCCCATTGTGAAATGTATGAATGGGGTTTGTACAAGTCTCTTGAGATGGAACAATAAAAGCAGGCTGCTAAAACTTTGTTTAGGACTCAACAAAAATTCTCCATTTTTTTAAATTCTTTCTACTGTTAACCTTTGCCTGCATTCCTTTCCCTGTCACAAGTACCTCCTAGGAGAAATAAAGGACTTGAAACATTCGGCTTGTTAATCATTTGATATGAAACAAGGTTCTTTTCAGTCTGTAACATTGCTCTATTTTTGTTTTAGTCTCCCATCAAAGGACGTGCACAGCCTTATGATCCCAATTTTTATGATGAAACCTACGATTATGGTGGTTTTACAATGATGTTTGATGACCGCCGTGGACGCCCTGTGGGATTTCCCATGCGGGGAAGAGGTGGTTTTGACAGAATGCCTCCTGGTCGGGGTGGGCGTCCTATGCCTCCATCTAGAAGAGATTATGACGATATGAGCCCTCGTCGGGGACCTCCTCCACCTCCTCCTGGACGAGGTGGCCGGGGTGGTAGCAGAGCTCGGAATCTTCCTCTTCCTCCACCACCACCACCTAGAGGAGGGTAAGTTTCTTCCATCCACACATTGCTAATTTGTAAGAGGCTTCACTCTATGGGTAGATAGGGTAGGTTTTTATTTGGTGTGTGTGACATGTAAGCGAACAGATGACAACAACAAGTACTATGCTTGCAGAGATCTAATGGCCTATGACAGAAGAGGAAGACCTGGAGACCGCTACGATGGCATGGTAAGAACTCTTCATTTATCAACGTATATGAGAACTTGTAGGGTTCTAAAGTCATGTAGTTGACACTTTGTTGAAGATGATTGTTAATTGGAAGCTTGAATGGACTTCTTAGACAACTAGTTAAATCATTTCAGTTGTTAGCTAGAATATTAAGACTTTATTTAGCTATTTTTGTTTCTGGACAATATGTGATTGCTGCCAATGATAGGTATTTTAGTGACGCAAGATAGAAATGCGTATAAAAACGGTAGCTCTGTGGCTGAAACTGCAGGTTATGTTAATACTTCTGTCTCTGACACAGGTTGGTTTCAGTGCTGATGAAACTTGGGACTCTGCAATAGATACATGGAGCCCATCAGAATGGCAGATGGCTTATGAACCACAGGTTGAGTATCAGGGGTGTTTGTATTCATATCAGTAACAATTTAAAATGCTTGCCTACTTGCCAGTAAGTGTTTGTTTTCCCCTTGTGTAATGTTTTTGCTCCTGTGCTATGTACCTGAAGGGTTTCTTCCCCCAAGGATTGTCTTCTGAAACATACTAGGGAGAATATGGGAGGACTTTAGTTTTCTAAACTAAGATTTTAGGAATATTAAAATACCTGAAGAATAGTTTTGAAGGCAAAGTAATTTTTTATTTTTTCTTTCCATTTTTAGGGTGGCTCCGGATATGGTAAGTTTTTTCCTTTGTGAAATCAAAACATTATTTCATGCTTTCTAAATGAACTTAATGCTCATTATTTAAATCAGATTATTCCTATGCAGGGGGTCGTGGCTCATATGGTGATCTTGGTGGACCTATTATTACTACACAAGTAACTATTCCCAAAGATGTAAGTAGTATTCTTTAAATTTTTACGTTCTTGTAATGTTACAAGGAACATTTAATAAATCATTTTCTTTAAATTCCCTGGCTTTAAGGGTCTTAAAGTACTGAATCTTAGGATTAAAATTGTGTTTTACAGACTTCAGCAAGGTGTCTTTCTCTGGTTTGACTTCTTTAAAAGCAGAGGGCTCTGAGCTCTTGATTTGTTTATATTAAAGGAATTCAAATTAATAATCAAATTAATTCAAACCTTGTTGAGTTGGAGATCTTTAATCCTAGAATGAACTGTGCAGTGTTAATACTTGACAATTCATTGAAAATACCAGTAATATGGTTATTTTTAAAGTATATCATAAACACTTGTTTTTAAAAATCTTTTCAGTTGGCTGGATCTATCATTGGCAAAGGTGGTCAGCGGATTAAACAAATCCGTCATGAGTCAGGAGCTTCGATCAAAATTGACGAACCTCTAGAAGGGTCTGAAGATCGGATCATTACCATTACGGGAACACAGGACCAGATACAGAATGCACAGTATTTGCTGCAGAACAGGTCAGTTTGGATTTAGCTTTATGTTAGCATACCCATACTAAAACTTTAAAAAGCTTTTCTTCTCAATTGATTTTTCTTTTAGAAGCCATGGTGTCTCAACCTTTTGGGGACCTAACTTCTAAACATCTTAATAGCTTTGCTTTGATTTTCTTCTGCTTTCTTACTAAAAACGAAGACATTCAATACTAATCTTGCTGGAAGAAGCCTTAACCAAGCAAACTTCTCATTTCTCTGGTGAAAACTGCTGCCAAAACCACTTGTTATAAATTATACAGAGCCTGTAGAAAATATAGAAGATTCAGTGGATGTTGGTCTAGTTCTGTGTGGAAGACTAGTGATTTTGTTGTTTTTAGATAACTAAATCGACAACAAATCACAGTCTGCCATATGGCACAGGCCATGCCTCTACAGGACAAATGATTGGTGCTGTAAAATGCAGCATTTCACACCTTACTGGCATTTCTTTGTCTTTTCTACCAAGTATTAACAACTTTTAATTTCATTTTCCTAATTCTGCTCTACTAATGTCTGATTTACTATTAATTATTTTCTTGAATTTTACATTGCTCTAATTTTGTAATTGCTAATGTTTTAATTCTTATTTCTAATTGTAATGGACATGTTTATCATTTTAATTTAGCATTGAAATTGTCTTAATGTTGATGAAGATGTTACGAACAAAAATTCTAATTCGTACTTTTTTTTCTTTTCTTTTATAGTGTGAAGCAGTATGCAGATGTTGAAGGATTCTAATGCAAGATATTTTTTCTTTTTTATAGTGTGAAGCAGTATTCTGGAAAGTTTTTCTAAGACTAGTGAAGAACTGAAGGAGTCCTGCATCTTTTTTTTTTTATCTGCTTCTGTTTAAAAAGCCAACATTCCTCTGCTTCATAGGTGTTCTGCATTTGAGGTGTAGTGAAATCTTTGCTGTTCACCAGATGTAATGTTTTAGTTCCTTACAAACAGGGTGGGGGGGGGAAGGGCGTGCAAAAACTAACATTGAAATTTTGAAACAACAGCAGAGTGAGTGAATTTTAATTTTTGTTCATTGTTGGTGGTTTAAAAGAAAAAATTCCCCCCATGTAATTATTGTGAACACTTTGCTTTGTGGTCACTGTAACATTTTGGGGGGGTGGGACAGGGAGGAAAAGTAACAATAGTCCAATTGTCCCTGGCATCTATTCAGAGCAGTGTGCAGAATGTAATGCTCTTTTGTAAGAAACGTTTTATGATTTTTAAAATAAATTTAGTGAACCTATTTTGGTGGTCATTTTTTTTTTTTAAGACAGTCATTTTTCAAATGGCTGGATCCCCAACCCACCCCAAACTAAACACTAAGTTTGATTTTCAGCTCCTCTGTTGGATATAAATAAATGCATCTCTTCTTGGACATAGGCAAAATATCTTGGCTAATTCCATTCTGGTGATTTCTTGATGATTTGAAAGTCTATTGCTTGGGAAGAAATTCCGTCATACACATTAATGCTTATAATAAGCTGGGGATTTTTTTTGTTTGCAAATGCTTGCCCCTACTCTGCAACAGTTTTCTATGTTAGTGATTGTGAATGGAGAACCAAGGTGGGGAGCAATACTACAAATTGAGTAATGATATAAGTATATGCCAGAAGCCTAATGGCAGCAAGTTTTATTAATCAGAATAATACTTGGTTATGGAAGGGACTGATGCTAAATAAATTCTTATTATTTTTTATTAGATAATTTCTCACCTATAGACAAACTGTCAGCCTGCTAGTGTCTATTAGTTAAACTTTGTAAAATATATATATATTCTTGTTTTTTTCCATTGTATGCAAATTGAAGGAAAAAGATGTACCATTTCTCTGTTATATGTTGGATTATGTAGGAAATGTTTGTGAACAATTCAAAAAAACGATGAAAAAAGTTCCTGTGGATGTTTTGTGTAGTATCTTGGCATTTGTATTGATAGTTAAAAGTTCACTTCCAAATAAACAAAACTCCCATAATGCTAGATTTGATGTGTACCCAATTTGAACGAGGGTTGATGACTACCTGTAAAATTTGTTCAAACGTTCCTCTTGTAAGGAAATACAGTAATCTTAAATTACATTTTTTTTTTCGTGTGAAGTGTGTTTCTAGCATAAATCTGGTAGGGGTGGTAAATACAAAATCCCAATCACTAAGCTCTTTATTTGTTAAAGGGGGAGTCATGATGAGAGCTGGAATTATTATCCAATTCTTTAATAAGACTACTCTCACATTACCTATGAGAAATTTTGGGTTTCTTAGGTTTTTTAAGATAGCTCTAGTTTAATGTTTGAAAATAAAGACCAATAAATGTAACAACTGGGGAGTATGGTTCCTGGCTCACAAGTTCCAAAAATTTCTGTTAACCGCCAACTGTCCAGAAAACATAACAGCTCAATTCTGTGGAAAATACTTGATGCCATTCTGCTTTTTTTTCAGTTTAGGAAAAAGACTTGCATGTAATATGAAGATGAAGTAGATAGTTTTCTGAAATATAAGTAGTACATGCATGCAAACCTCACTTTGAGGCAGAATTTTGGTGAAACTCCCTTTTTAGTGTTCTCTTGGTAAGTGAAATTGTCACAACATGACTTAAAACTTTGATAACTGTGGTATAGTTTCCCAAAAGGAGAAATTAGGCTGCACTGCCACACCCCTTGGGTATTTTAAGTATGGGTGAGCTGGAGTGGTTTAGGGTAGTATAATCTACTTCTTTTGAAATGAGCTTTTCCATTAGAGAAAAAGTGACAACGTTTTAGTTAAACTTAGTCTTACTGGCAGAGAGCATCCCTGGATGTAACACTGGCTTTCAGAGCAGTCATTGGTCATTCAAAAATTAGTCACGTAAGAATGTAGATTATTAGTTGGAAGGGTTTTCATTTTTGCCTTTTAACAAGTTCAGACCTTGAACATAACCTAAAAATTAAATAGACTCGAGAATATCTGGCACTGAAGAGTTGGGTATACCACTTGGGAAGGGAAAGGCCTTTTGTGTTGCCACTATTTGTAAATGGTGTTTGAATATGGGCTGGAAATTAAGTGGGAAAGTTCTCAGTAAAACATGCTAATGGAACGTTGAACCAATTTTATAAGAAGCAACTAGTACATATGCTGATCTATGGAAGCCTCACATTTAAACGTGCAGTTCTAAAATGTGTTCAGCTTAACTTTGAAAGCTATTACCAGAATGCCAACAGACCTGTTAAAAACCAGGTTGCACCAGTTTTTTTAGGAATGAAGACTTTAAAACCTGTGCTATTCAAATTTTAAGTTTGCCTTTAAAATGAGACTGCAGGGGCACCTGAGTGGCTCAGTTGGTTAAGCGTTCAAACTTGGTTTTGGCTCAGCTCATAATCTCTGGGTTGGGAGATAGAGCTCCATGTCAGGCTCTGCACTCAGCACAAAAGCTGCTTCAGATTCTCCCTTCTCTCCCCCTCGTGCTCACTCACCCTCAATACAAAAAATGAGACTACAAAATATTTTTATTGGATGATCCAGTGTTTTACTCCTAAATCTGATAACTGATTCTACTGGAATGCATAGAGACTGGAGGAAAATGATAAGTGTTTAATGCTATCAGTTTTTTGGAAAGGGATTCAATCTTGGCTAAATGTAAATTAAATCATGACTTTACATCTCCCATTTATCACCAAGGGTTGCTCATTGCTGGCAAGTTTCAGATGAAATGGGCTCAGTTTCTTTATGGAGCCACTGAACTTACGGAAAGCTTTATAAGTGTTTCTCAAAAAACTTCGTAGGACCACCTTTAAAATCAGTGGTGCTGGGGATGCCTGGGTGGCTCAGTCTTTAAGCGTTTGCCTTCAGCTCAGGTCATGATCTTGGGATCAAGCCCCACATTGGGCTCCCTGTTCGGCAGGGAGCCTGCTGCTTCCTCTCCCACTCTCCCTGCTTGTGTTCCCTCTCTATCTCTCTGTCAAAAATTTTAAGATTTTGAGACAGCGAGAGAGAGGGAACACAAGCAGGGGGAGTGGGAAAGAGAGAAGCAGATTTCTTGCACAGCAGGGAGCCCAATGTTGGGCTCCATCCCAGGACCCTGGGATCATGACCTGAGCCAAAGGCAGACGCCTAATGGCTGAGCCACCTGGGCACCCCGCAAATGAAGTCTTTAAAAAAAAAAATTAGCGGTGCTGGTTAAACATTAAAACACCTGGACCATACCTCAATTTGAATCACAATCTCTAGAAGGAGGTACCAGGAATCTGCTTATTTAACAAAACTGGAGTTAATAGTGCGTTTTGTTTTTTTAAGATTTTATTTGAGAGAGGCAGGGGGAGGAGCGGAAGGAGAGAGACAAGCAGACTCATTGAGCGCAGAGCCCCACACGGCTTGATCTCATGACCCCAAGATTGTGACCTGAGCCAAAATCAAGGGGTGGGTGCTCAACTGACTGAGCTTACCCAGGTGCCCCAAACTCAGTAGTTTAAAAACTAACATAATACAGCAATATGTAGTAAGAAACAAGTATGGGGGCACCTGGGTGGCTCAGTCGGCTGAGAGTCTGCCTTTGGCTCAGGTCCTGGATCCTGGGGTCCTGGGATTGAGCCCCATTTCGGGCTCCCTGCTCAGTGGGAAGTCTGCTTCTCCCTCTCCCTCTGGCCCTCCCCCCTGCCCCCCACTCGTGCGCTCACTCTCTCTTGAATAAATAAAAAAACCTTAAGTATGTTATCATACCTTTTCATTAATTCACTTAGTTACCCAGGTGTACAGGTACAGTGGTAGACCCTAAGGATGCAGTGGTTAGGAATCGTTCATTTGGAGAGTGAATCCAGTAACAGTGAGAAAAACCAGTGTTGTGAGATGTATTTAGAAAAGCAGAAACCAATGTGTGTGTACATACATGTATACACATTCACAATGATACACTGTAGAGTTAAAACCAGGAAAATCCCTGTGCTTTGACCCAAAATTCTGTCCCCTGCTCTTAGCAGATGAAAGTAAAGACAGCTTGTGTACATAGGTAGTCATCATTTGCCCCAACCAGGCCTCAGCACTTAGAGAAGAAATCTGACCTGAGAGAAAAAAAGTAATACCTAGAAAATTAAGCACTTTACATTTGTCTATATTTAAAATGGGGAGTTAATCTGAGTCAAGGACATTGGAAAATCTAAGATGCAAATGTTTTATAGGCTTGAGTTCTGTTTGCCGACAGGGTTGTGGTTAACAGATACACCAGCTATACACCTGTGACCTCAAGCCTTAGCCTTCCTAGCCACCTCATTTTCTGTCCAGAACCTGTTCTCCCACTCAATATCTCCACCCATTTCCCTCTGCTCCCCCAAACTCAGACCTGTAACCCCCAGCCCGGTAGTTGTGAGAGAAACAAACAGTATGTCAGCAGAACTTCAAACTTTTTAGAATCGTTTCAGTATTTTACCCTTTTGGTCATCTTATCCCCCTTACCCCTTTTTTCCGTGAAGTCTTCCTATCTTTAAGGATGGACTTCATGGAAGGGAAGGGCCAGTTCACCTAGAACAAAATATCTGGGGGTCTGGGAGGGGGACATAAAACAGCTGCTTATCAGAGCAAAAGGGGGAGAAGTCATTTTGATAGCGAAGAGAGATTAGGCAGGAACAGAGTAGAATAGAAGGCATCAGCCAGGTCCCTCAGTGACCTCCCTAGGGTTCATCCTGAGGCTGGACAAGTAGAGGATGATTAGTGAGAGCAGGAACTCCAGGTAGGTTAAATAGGAAGCTAAAGGCAGAGAAGGCTTAAGCCTCACTTCTATTTGGAATGCTGCAAAGTAATCCTATGACCACATGGGCTAGTAAAGCACAGCAGAAATTGAGGCATATCATGTTTTGGCACAGAGGGACACAGATTTTATGCACACACACACATACACACACACTCCACAGGATTTGCTTTGATTCCTAGATGGCAAAAGAGGGACACCAGTTGAGTGCTAATGGGCTTGCCATGGGGTCACCATGGTGAAAGGGAAGGTTACTGCATAGCAGAGGTTGTAAGGTAGATAGCCCAGCAATGCAGTAACCTTGCTGGTCTTGGAAAGGTGGAAGTGAAAGAAAGACCTTTTAGAAAAAACAGCCCTAATAAGGGGTCTGACCTTTAACTGAATAATTATTTCCCTTAAATTAGACCATTTAAAACTGGAAAAGACCAACTTGCATTTCACTTGGCAAGTTTATGTGGTTTTTTTCTACCATCACTGGGAATGGGAACTTAGGAGAAAGAGGGATATGGGAATCTGAGAGCCCCTGGAAGTCCCCATAAAAGCAAAGGTGAGGCAAATACAACCAAATCATAAGTTTTAGGTGGAGGTGGCCCCAGTGGGCTTGGGGTCTTCATTTGGTAGATCAGGTAGGTTTTTATCTAGATCATTTCTTCCTATCTGTGTTTCAGATTGGCACCAATTCTGTGTACAGTTCAGACTCCAGAACTCTGTGATCAGGCCCTGCTTCCGTGGCTTCCTTTCACCTGAGAGCCTTCCTCTAGTGAATCTCTTGCACAAGAATTCCTGGCTGGGCCTGTCTTTTAGGGACATGATCTAAAATGGTTGAGCTGCAGCTGGAGCAGAGATTTACATCACCCAGACATCCTTGGCTTAGATTTTGATGCAGTAAGTAATGAGACATACAGTTACCTCCTTCTGAGGAATGGGTGAAACTTTTTCATTTTAGAACAGCTGCATTCTGTTAGGCAGTATGTTTTAAAGTATACGTATGTGAACAAAATAGCCATGGGGTGAATTATAATGGACCCTTTTGTTAAACGACACAGCTTCACTTTGCCCTCTTCAATAGTACCCAGCTTTGCTTTTGCAGTTTTTCTCTCGCAGCTGTATGTAGACTTGACAAGATAGAAATCCTGGTCCTGGGAGAGTCCTTCTCACACCAAGAGAGTAAGCATTTGCACCAGGCTTGCCTAACCTGAGGATTTGTCCTGGGAATTTAAATCTTGAGCAGAATGATTGCAGGCAAGTTACAATGATCGCGGTAAGTTTGTGGGTTTTTGTTGTTTGTTTGTTTTTTCAGCAGCACTAGTAGAAGAAACCTTTGGGCAGTTTCTAGAACTGCCCAATTGCCTTTTAGAAGTCTTGTTCCCAGCCTCTCCTTCTATCCAGAGAGGTTTTTCATAGCTTTTCAAAAAGTTTCTTTGCTTAAGTTAGCCAGTCACTATCTGTACAGGCAGCCTTGCTAACTTCAGAGAGGACAACAAAAGTCTGGGTAGCAGCTGCTTGCTCCACCTCAGCAGCCATTGCTGCCAACCAGCGTCACTTGGGCCTTCCCAGTTTGGCCATCTGGGGCATAAATCAGTCATTTTCTGGGGGACTGCGGGCCCTATCTCGAGGCTGCCACTGAACATCCGAGGCAACCAGCAACATGCCTCAAGTTTTCGCTTTTGCCTCCTCTTTCAGACTTGAACAAAATGCCACACCTCACAGAGAAGAGAACTGACTTCTGGAGCAGCTACCACAGCGGCTGGATGATGCCATGTGGAAGGAAAGAGGAGTCAGTTCCGGAGGGGAAAGCTCCGACCAAAGGGTAATCAAAGCAAGGAAAGAGATGTGCCGCTGGGTGAGCAGCCCCCTCCCACCAGCTAGCCCGGCCCGCCACGGACGCCTGGGCAGGCGGTCGGTTTGGCCCAGGCCACCCAGCTGTCTAAAAACGCTTGGTGTTTTTAGAGATACAAAAAGAATTATTAGACTACAATAGGAGTTGGCTCTGTTGCTCTTGAAATGAGCCACAGGCCGTCAGCTTTTGCTAAGATGATTAACAACACAGAGAATCTTGGAAAGAAATTGTTAGCTGTTCCAGACAACTACAAGGTGACTTGTGCACAGAGGTGTGTCAAGGCCAGTCCCCTGCTGTCACTCTTAAACCCAGTTGGCCTGAAAACAAGAAGGTGTGCTACATGCAAGATGACAGGAGCTTAGTTAGCTAAGGCAGCAGGAGCCTAGAAGTTTGGGGATATGAATATTGTCTACCCTAAACTTGGGAGTTTTGCAAAAATTCCAGATTCAAGCCCCTGGAATCTCAGCCCGGACGCCTCCTATGGGCATTAGTGGGCCAACGAGACCGTGCACGGAGGGGAGTTTGCCTTTATCTGTGATGTCAAGGGAGCCATGGTGGTTGGCCCCGTGTCCTCCAAAGTCCTATCCAAGCTGGCAGATGTTTCCTAGTTTGGTGTGATTTTTGCTGGTGCTCAGAAGAATGTTGGCTCTGCAGGGACCACATTCGTGATCACTAGTGATGACCCCCTGGGGTTCGCCCTCAGAGAGTACCCTTCGGTCCTGGAATACAAAGTACAGGCCCCAAACCACTCCTCAGACAACACACCTCCGTGTTTCAGCATCTATGACATGGGCTGGGTCCTGAAGTGGATTAAAAACAAGGCAGTGCAGCCATTGGAGAAGCTCAGCTGCATCAAAGCACAAATGATTTGTGATATTATTGATAATTCTCAAGGATTCTAGGTATATCCAGTGGATCCCAGAATAGAAGCAAGACAAATATTCCATTCTGCAGTGGCAGTACCGAAGGACATAATGCTTTAGGAAGAAAGATTACTTGCTAAAGCTCTTGAACTCTATCTGATCTCCTTGAAAGGGAGTGGGCCTGTGGGAGTCATCCGGCCTCTCTATATAATGCTGACAAGATAGAAAATGTTTAGAATCTGGCAGCATCCATGAAAAATCTTTGGAGACGCATCAGCTATGAACACATCTCAACCAATATGTATTCTGCCCCTGTGAACAATGTATAAAATTTAAAGTAACTTGAGAATGGCTACAAAAACAACAAATCCGGAATTTTTCTTGAATGAACATTTTATTATAGATTCTTCTTTTTTCAAAGAACAACAGCAAAACATTCACAGCTCTGCAAAGCTGGTGGGACTAAACAGACACCTTAATTCTTTTTTTTTTTAAGATTAATTAATTTTTTTTTTAAGAGAAAAAGAGTGGGGCAGGGAGGGGCAGAAGGGGAGGGAGAGAAAAAAATCTTAAGCAGGCTCCACACCCAGCGCAGAGCCCACGAAGGGCTTGATCCCATGATCCCGAGATCATGACCTGAGCAGAAATCAGGAGTCCAACACTTAACCAACTGAGCCACCAAAGCGCCCCTAAGATTTTATATTTTTAAAGTAATCTCTACACCAAACATGGGGCTCAAGTTCACAGCCCCGGGATCAAGAGTCACATGTTCAGGGTGCCTGGGTGGCTCAGTTGGTTGGGCATCTGCCTTCGGCTCAGGTCATGATCCCGGGGCCCTGGGGTAGAGCCCCACATCAGGCTCCCTGCTCAGTGGGGAGCCTCCTTCTCCCTCCACCTCTGTCCCTCCCCCGCAAAAGAGTCACATGTTCTGAGCCAACCAGGCACCCCAACAGACAGCTTAATTCTGACTTGAACTGGAAACATTTAAAAAAAATCTTCCTTTTGCTTTTATAACAAATCTAGCTTACATTGTCTTTCCTTTTTTTTAATGTTGTCTTTGGTGCTACTTTTTCTAGGTAGATCTCAGTATTCAAACTTGTCTGTGGACTTAATTATGCAAATTGTAGCTAATTGCTTCTGGAGACACACAAACACACAGCATGGAGGGTGAATGGGGTCCTCTGGGTGCTGAATCTTGATCCTTTCCAAAATGACAGCAGTGGAGTCTCCTGGGTTCTGCACCTGTTAATTCAGGCCCACACTGCCTGTGTGGTGAGTATTTAGGGGTTCCAGGCTAAAGGGCAAACTGGGGATCTTTCTTTATCCTGTTATTTTCATAAAGAGATATAAGTGACATACTATGTGTTTATATAGCAAGGTCTGTTTTTAATACCAAATAGTTTATATCTTTATGCATTTATATTTCTAGTAATACAGTTCTCAGAATCCTTGACTTTGTGCATTATAACATTACATTAGCAACAGTTGTGGTCCCCATCCCACCTCCACCCCACCTTTTAAGCTGCTTAACAAAAAAGATACAGTTCTCTGATTCACTTTTGCTTTCCTTCCAATGGGTAGAAGAGAGAAGGCTGTATGTTTGGTTCTTTATTTTTTAATTAAGCCATTGAAATAAAATTCTCTGTCAAACTTCCTTATCCTTTGTTGATTTGACGGTTCTCTTTATAGTGTTTGACCAGAATGATACTATGAGTTCTGGAAGATCTTTGCTGAAGATTCTCTTCCCCTACTGTTTATCCACTGTCAGTGTTTTATGTTGAGTATGTGAAGGACATTAAAATCCTAAAATATCTAAAAAGAGACAGAGACAGAAAGAGAAAGGAGAATTTCCTCTCAAACTGCTCTGAGGCAGTTTCTCCATATAGTCTGTCCAGTGTAATGGAACTGTGACAACACTCCTACACTGTGACTAGCTGTGTCTCTTTGAGGCTCACCACGAAGCAGCGGCTAACACAGTACCACGTCCCCTTGTATTACTTTCCATCTGAACCTTTTTTCCTTTCCTTCACTGTTGATGTCTTCAGAAGGCACCTCATAGATAAAACATCAGCACTTAATCTCTGCCTCAGATAAATCCCTGCCCCTTTTCAAAAGAAATATTCCTTTCTATCTGTTTACTTTTTGTACTTTTTAAAAAATATTTTTAAAATTTATTTGACAGAGAGCACAAGTAGGCAGAGGGAGAGGGAGAAGCAGGCGATGTGGGAGATGCGGGACTCAACCCCAGGACCCTGGTATCATGACTTGAGCCGAAGGCAGATGCTTAACCAACTGAGCCACCCAGGCGCCCCTGTAGTTTTTTTTTAAAGATTTTATTTTTAGGGGCGCCTGGGTGGCTCAGTTGTTAAGCGTCTGCCTTCGGCTCAGGTCATGATCCCAGCGTCCTGGGATCAAGCCCCGCATCGGGCTCCTCGCTCTGCAGGAAGCCTGCTTCTCCCTCTCCCACTCCCCCTGCTTGTGTTCCCTCTCGCTGTATCTATCTCTGTCAAATGAATAAATAAAATCTTAAAAAAAAAAATTTTATTTTTAAAGTAATCTCTACACCCAACGTGGAGCTTGAACTCACAACCCTGAGATCAAGAGTCAAGTGCTCTACTGACTGAGCCAGTCAGGCACCCCTGTACTTTTTTTAAAAGCAGGTTTTTACATTTATGATTGTTGTGTCCCCCTCCCTCACTTTTTGCACTACAGTCTAGCTGAGTGATCTATTGCCAACTGGCACCAATTCTCCAAATCAAAGTGTGTAAGGGAAGTACACTTGTGTGATCCTCTTTAATAGAAGATACACTGGGCAATCTGTCTACTTCTCTTTGCCAGAAGTACAATAACTGGAAGGCCTGCTGCTCCTCTTCTACATAGCTGAATTTCAGTTCTGGAAATTTCCTCAGCCTGTTTGTGCAACAACCCCTTGCTTGATAATTTCCAGGACCCATTCCACTAACAGCTCAGCTTCAGCTTCTAGCAACCTTGAGCGAAAGAAGGTGGTTACCAGATCAGCATTTTGCATTATATCCTGAAGTGGTGAGGTCAAGATTGTTCAAAAAGATCTCATTTGTAAAGCAGTGCACGCACCAAGTTTGGATTGTGGGGAAGAGAATCTGTCAGGCAGGAACTGATGATTTTCTTTTTTTTTTTTAAAGATTTTATTTATTTATTTGAGAGACTGAATGAGAGAGAGAAAGAGCACATGAGAGGGGGGAGGGTCAGAGGGAGAAGCAGACTCCTTGCTGAGCAGGGAGCCTGATGCGGGACTCGATCCCGGGACTCCAGGATCATGACCTGAGCCGAAGGCAGTCGCTTAACCAACTGAGCCACCCAGGCACCCTGGAACTGATGATTTTCAACGTCGTTCAAATCACCTCTTCAATGACATTTACTTAAATGCATAACCTATAAAGGAACATTAATGGAACTCAGAAAACCTCTCAAGGACTGTGTAGTTCGTTCCACAACTCTGTTGTGTTTTTTAGATAGCAAGGAAAACAAGCAGATTACTGGTTTATTATAAAAGGATATAACTCAGGAACCAACCAGATAGAGAGATGTATAGGGCAAGTTACCTGGGAAGGGGCATGGAGCTTCCATGCTCTCTGAGCATGTCATTCTCCCCAAATCTCTAAGGGTTCATCAAACTGGAAGCTCTGCACTGTTTTTTATGATGTAATTTAGTTCTTTCTCCTAAGTAGGAAATATTAATTTCACTAAAGGCAAACTATGGTTCAAAAATTCTAATTGATTTTGAACTGTAGTAATGTTAATGCTATATAATGGAGATAATATATTTATTCCGTTATAACTAAATATTTTAAAACAGAAATTATTTAAGAGCCAGAGTTTTCACCAGAAAGGGTCCATTCTGTCCCTAAACCAAAGCCTGTAGATGGAACATTTTACACACAATAAGAAGAGAGGAGGAAGAGAAGAGCTTCCAATGGTACTAAGAAAACCAGGATAATATAATGGCCCAAAAGCGAAGAGTGAATTTCAAGGAAGTAGTCCATTTTAAATGCTATAAATGGATAAATCAAGGAGAAAAGGAACAGAGGAAAATTACTACACAATAGCAAACCGTATCTCTTTTCTGCTAAGACTTCTTGGGGCTTTAGTCTATTGATCACTTTAGGAGAGTCCAGGGGGAAATGAAAATAGTTGAGATGTCCTATCTTCAAAAATCCATTTCACTTCTCTGCTTTCCTCATTCCGCATATATGAATGACAGCCTCCTCTCTAGCAATGTCTACTGTCCATCCATTGCTCTTGCCAACTTTTGCAACTTTTCCTCAACAATACCTCTTAACCCACTATTTCTTTTAAGTTTCTGCCATAGCCTATCATGACAGAAAATAGCAGATGTAGCAGTGATCGTTGCCAAGCTTGACATTTAATTTAGCTATTCAGAATGATGGCTTTCTTGTTGACTGGAATAATCTACTTTGGATACTGTGTAGGAGGGGGAAAGGTGATAGGGACACACCATTTATCATGCCTCCTCCCTTTGTTAACCCTGAAAATACAAGTTGAGGGACTATTTAGAGGTCATCGGGATCTTCTCTTCAAAAGCCTATGCCTGCAGGGTAGAGCTTCTGGCAAAGATTTTCAAAAGAAAAAAACTCAGCAGGCATGTTCCTTTGGCTCTTTGCCCCTTTTATTTTCATCTTTCTTTCTGCGCACACAATGCCCATAAGGGTAGAGTCATCCTACAACCATAAAGACAAAAGTCATATACTAGGTATCCCTAGTGACACAGAAAGCAAGGAGCCTAGTTCCTTGCTGACATTCTCAAACAGGTATATCTGCTATGGGTTTATTATATGAGAAAAACAACCCCCTTTGTATTTAGTCACTATAATCTAGTTTTCTGTTGCTTAAAGTATAATACTACCCATTTGACTGTCTGCCTTCCTCACTAATCATAAGATGTCAGAGACCATGTCTGTATCTGCCACCTGTGCAAGACAGGAAGCTTTCATAGCAAGTTACAGAAAACCCAACTCAAAATTGCTTTAAACTTTAAGGAAGTTTACTAACTCACATAATGAGATCCAAAAGTGGGAGAGACTTAAGAGCTGACATAATCCCATTATTCCAGCTCCATTTCTCGACTATTCTTTTGGCCTCCCCCATGTGTTGACCTCATACACAGGTTGCCATCAAAAGGATGGTAACAATTTCACACCTCATATCCAAGCTCAATCATGTCCAGAGGGAGCATGAATCTCTTCTGGAAGTTCTCCTGGAAAAGCTTTTCTGGAAGCATCCTACAAACCTATCTTTGCAATTCACTGAGGTGAACTAGGGAACATACATGATCCTTACCCAGTCCCTTGCAAGAGGGTGATATTACCCTTAGACCGGTCCAGACCACTCTTGGAGATCAGGACGCTGAGCTACACCAGTTGTGGGTAAGAGGGATTCCTGAACAACATCAGGATTCTGTCAGGAAGGAAGAAGGAGGGAAAGAATATTGAGTAGGTAAAGAACTCCCTTTTTGTATTCCTAACAGCTTGTACACATATTTAAAAAATAAACCCAACTACCACGCAAAATTTATGCTTTATCTCGACAATAAGTTGAAAGAAGGAAGCTTATTTTCTTATTTATACTACTCCTAGTGTCTAACTCAGTATCCTGAACAAAGTAGGAATCTAAGTTGTTGGTTTTTCATTTCTGTCAATAAGTCTCGGTGAGAGAAAATGGCCTAAATTATATAACCTCCTGAATTCTTTTGTAGATTGCCAGATTTTCTTGCTAATCAATTTTTTTAAAGATTTTATTTATTTGAGAGGACAGCGAGCACAAGCAGGGTGGGGGGACACGGTGCAGAAGGGCAGAGGGCAAGGGGAAAGCAGACTTCCTGCTGAGCAGGGAGCCCCATGGGGGGCTCAAGATCCCAGGACCCCGAGATCATGACCTGAGCCAAAGGCAGATGCTTAACCGACTGAGTCACCCAGGCGCCCCTTTTGCTAATCAATTTGACTCCAAAGACTTAGAGCTGCTGGGGTAGACAGAAAAATCCCAAGTCAACAGATTTACATTTATTCAACAACGCATTAATGTACTAGTGACTTCTTCTGTAAAAGCAAATCATAATGAAATCCTTAAAAGTTTTTTTCTTACCAAAATGAAGAAACTGGAGAGATGAAGATGTTCTGCTTCTCTGGGGGCACAGTTGTCAAACTTGAAAATTCTAAATCCTCCAAAAATTCTCTAATTCCAAGATTCTTTACTGTCAATAACTAGAGATGACTACTGTTATTTTTAATAGTTGATTTTCAAAAAGGCACGAACATTTCATATTATCCATGGAGATTTAAGTCTGAAGAAGAGCACAAATACATTATCTCTGTACTAAAATTTCATCAATAGGCAAATTTGGATCATCACTAATTGACTAGGGTACCTCTCCTCATCCCATTAAAAAATATTTTTTAAAAAAGTTTGGGGCTGTAAGGTGATACTTATTTCCTCTAATAATGTCTCCTCATTAGGGCCACTAATATAGTCACTACCTGACCAGAATGGTTGGCACTGGTGGTTTGGTTCATAGAAAGTGCCCCAGACTTGAGGGTTTGAATCCCAACCCAGGCCACTGCTGTGACCAGGGTCTAACCGCTGAACCATACAGCTTCTCTTGCAAAACGAGGAGTACAACCGCCGCTATTGCCACGGCCGGGACAATAGGGATTCAGTACGAAAGCACAACTCCAGGCACACAATGTTAATTTTAACAATACATTGGTTTCCTCATCCATTTCTCCAGACGTCTCAGCTAATCTTAAACGTCCATACGGCCTCCGAATGCGCCAGTAATTTAGCACAAGAGGCCTGCCTGGGAGATGGGGTTGTGGGGGACCCGCCAATCCGTGTCACAGCCCGGGGGCGATTTAGCCCCCCGCACCGGAATGGGCGTCGCCAGGCTCGTCGCGGCCCGGGAACCCGGATGCGGAGCGTCGCCAAGGGCAGCTTGCCCACATTTCGCCCACTGGGTAGAGGGGAGGGGCGGGAGCCGAGGGAGGGCAACGCCGTACACCGCGTGCAGTCATCGCGACTCGGGCCACGGCGGCGAGCCGCAGTACCACGTGCCCGGAGGGAGGGTGGAAACGTGCACAAAATGGCGGAGCCGCACGCCTGGGCGGGAGGGAGCGCAACTGCGGACCGGCGGGTGCCGGACCCTCCGGCCAGTTTCCGGACGTTCGGAACCGGAAACGGGTCCCAGGCGCGCGCCCGGGCGAGAGTGGGCGGGGCCGCCCTCCCGGAAGTGCCTCTGGTCCAGGCCGGGCGCGCGGCCCCGCGGCGTCCGCCGCTCAGCTGCCCTGCGCGGTGGAGGGAGGGAACCCGGAAGTCGCCCGCGCTGTTGGCTTTCAGAGCCGTTCTGGGAGGGCGGGGCCCTGTGAGGGCAGCGAGCCCACGCTGGGTAGGGAGGGACTGCTGCTGAGGGACCCGCACCCTTGCCCCGCCCAGGGAGGGAAGCGAGTTTGGCCAGCCCGCGGGTGAAAGCGCGGTTCACCAGTCCCAAAGGGAAGGACGGGATGGACGGGCCCCTAACTCCCAGGGAGTCCGCAAAATTCATTGCAGAGAATAGTCGGGATGTGTTCATCGACGACGGAGGCGTGCGGAGGGTGGCCGAGCTGCTGCTCGCCAAGGTCTCGGGGCCCGAGCTGCACCTGGGGGGCTGGAAGGCCCTTCACGAGCTGAATCCCAGGGCGGCTGACGAGGCCGCGGTCAACTGGGTGTTCGTGACAGACACGCTCAACTTCTCCTTCTGGTCGGAGCACGACGAGCACAAATGTCTAGTGGGGTACAGGGGGAAGACGTACAGCGGGTACTGGTCCCTGTGCGCCGCGGTCAACAGAGCCCTCGACGAAGGTTGGTGCCCCTTCTCCTGTCAGACCCAGCGAACGGCCTGTGAGGTTTCGGTTTACCGGCAGGGTCCCGAGGAACGAGTCGGGAAATGGCATACGTGTTCATAAGGCGAACTTTGAAGTTCTTCATTGCAGTTCTTACCTGCTTAAAATACAAGTGTGAGAAGAAGCTGGCATTAAGTCCTTAGTGAGAGATGATCCTGTTTACCATCATAGCTAAGTATACAAGCTTTCTAAAGAACGCCACTTTGATGACATCTGAAGAACAAAGGGACAGATATAACACATTTTATGCAGTCAAAATACATCTGGTGTAGTGTAACAATTGCTAGAAACGAATGAATAAGTACAGACGAGAAAATAGAAAATGAAGGGTATGCTTCTCATTTTTTAATTCTTCACCCATTTTTGGTGCATTTCTGGAACACTCATTTGCTTTCTTATTATTGTATGTTGTAAAAGCAAGGGTCTGATGAATATGAAAGTATGACGTTGTTCCTCTGCATTTTCTTTTTTCCCTAAGGGATACCTATAACCAGTGCTTCCTACTATGCCACAGTGACCCTGGATCAGGTTCAGCATATATTCCGTTCTGACACGGACGTTGCCATGCCTTTGATCGAAGAGAGGCATCGGATTCTTAATGAAACCGGGAAAATTCTGCTTGAGAAGTTCGAAGGCTCTTTTCTGAATTGCGTCCGAAAAAGTGAAAAAAGTGCACAGAAGTTAATGCACCTGGTAGTTGAAAGCTTTCCTTCTTACAGAGATGTGACTCAGTTTGAGGTGAGCTGCTTCTGTTGGGGATTTTAGAATTCTTAATTATCTTCTCAGTTAACTTTTTTACTTCCAGAACTCCTTTTGAGATTTAAAAACTTAAGTTTTGAAGTTCCTTCCTTGTGGACAAGGAACAGTAACAAAATTGTTAGTGTTTCAAAGACATTACTTTTCTTAGTTTTCTAATTAATATATTTCCTTTATTTTTCTTTTTTTCTTTGTCCTTTTAAAATGTTTCAAAGCTACAAAACACTGAACCTTCAATATGATGCTATTTAGGGACAATGAGGTCCTTTTACAACTTCAAAAAATTTACTTCATTGGATGAAAATCAGAATGTATTTCTAAATCCTCTCTAATAAAAAGTATTTTTTGAGGCTCTAACACACATATATATATATATATATATATATACACACACACATACACACTGTGTTTTCTTTTTCACACGTGGAATACTTGAACAGTGTTATTTTCTTTTTCTTTAAACAGATGTACTTTTAAAATGGTAAACATTTGGTATACCTTTCCACTCTACACCTGGGTTCTGTTTTTGTAAAATTCTCTTAGAATTCACTATCATTGTGTGTTGTTGTTTTTTTTAAAGATTTTATTTATTTATTTGAGAGAGAGAGAGAGAGAACATGAGAGGGGGAAGGGTCAGAGGGAGAAGCAGACTCCCTGCCGAGCAGGGAGCCCGATGCAGGGCTCGATCCCAGGACTCCAGGATCATGACCTGAGCCGAAGGCAGTCGCTTAACCGACTGAGCCACCCAGGCGCCCTATCATTGTGTGTTTTAACTGTGGCAAAGAATTGAAAGCAACTTCAGAGGAATCACATAATATAAATCTATTGAATAAGTTCATGAATGCTTAAATCATATTGAAATTTTAAAGCTACCCTTTTGAAATCACAATTCAACGACTAACAAAAATTCCCAATGATATTGTTTAAGTCGCTCTTTATGATTTACAAGGTGTTTGCATGTACACTCTCATTAGATCCATAGAAGAGCTCTGTGGGGCCTAAGGACAAGGATCATTATTGCCCTGTTTGTAGACCAGGAACCAAAGTCTAAAGAGAAAGGTTAACTGGTTTATCTTACATCATTTAGTCAGGAAATAAATAGCTAGCTTTTCAATTCTGTAAAGTGAGAGATGCCTGATAATGTTAAGATTCTTTTATTTTTCAAAGATTTTATTTTTATTTATTCATTTGAGAGAGCGAGCATGAGCAAGGGGGAGAGGCAGCGGGAGAAGCAGATTCCCACTGAGCAGAGCCAGATGTGGGGCTTGATCCCAGGAACAGGAGATCATGACCTGAGCCGAAGGCAGATGCTTAACCATCTGAGCCACCCAGGCGCCTCAGTTAAGATTCTTTTAATTGCAAGTGACAGACACAAAACTAAAAAAACCTTAAGCAAAATGAAGAATTTGGGGATAGGAACATTGAGGATCAAGGACTCAGTGCCATCAGGATTCAGTCACTACTCTTTGATTCTCTTGGCTCTGTATTTCTCGCAGACTAGCTTTCTCCATGAAGTAGATGTTCATGAATTTTGCATCTTATTGCTTCAACCACCAGAGAGAGAGCGGGAGGGAGGGGTAGACACCCTCTCAGGTACCGTTCTAAAATTCCTGGCTAAATACTGATCAAATCGGCAGGGATTATGATCAATGAAGTGTGGCTGAAGGGGCTGTGGGTGGGGCAGAGGCAGTTCCTAGAAAAGAGACCCTAGACCACTGCTAAATTTCATTTTGTTCTGACTAACCGTTTTGCTGATGCAGAGGTTACTTTGAGATTTATCTTTGTCTTTTTTTTTTTAAAGATTTTATTTATAAAGATTTTATTTATTAGAGAGCAAGACACACACACACACACACACACACACACACGGTGGTGGTTGAGAGCATGAGCAGTGGGAGGGGCAGAGGGAGAAGCTGAGCAGGGAGTCTGATGCGGGTCCCAGGACCCTATCTGAACCGAAGGCAAACACCTAACCGACTGAGCCACCCAGGCACCCCTATCTTTGTCTCAACCTTTTTTAAAGAAACTGTGGATCAAGTTCCTTGGTTCATGATTCAGGCCATCTCAGTGTATTCGTGTATAAAAAAATGAAACTGCCATTCATGTGGCTAAGAATCCATGTATTCCAGAATCAACATTGGTTGTAGTAGAAGGGCTAAGAGTAAATTTAGGATGACTTCAGGATGGAATAAATTCATGACATGTAGTTTGTTTGTCTTGAAGTAGTCTTGAGTTTTTGTTTTTGTGGAAGAGTAAACTTTTTTGGTAGATGGTAATACCAATTTAGTAAGCAACTTACTGATTTTCTATTTTATTACAGCACAGTGCTTTTGATTTACTTTGCTGAAAAGTTCAGTTTTTTAAAAACTGTGCCGGGAGGGGTGCCTGGGTGGCTCAGTCGTTAGCGTCTGCCTTCAGCTCAGGTCTTGATCCCAGGGTCCTGGGGTCGAGCCCCGCATCGGGTTCCCTGCTCTGCGGGAAGTCTGCTTCTCCCTCTCCCACTTCCCCTGCTTGTGTTCCCTCTCTCGCTGTCTCTTTCTCTGTCAAATAAATAAATAAAATCCTTAAAAATAAATAAATAAATAAATAAATAAATAAAATAAATCAGCCTTAAAATTAATCTATATCCTGGCACAGTTGTGGGTTTTTTTGTTTTTTTTTAAGATTTTATTTACTTATCTGACAGAGAAAGAGACAGCGAGAGAGGGAACACAAGCAGGGGGAGTGGGAGAGGGAGAAGCAGGCTTCCCTCAGAGCAGGGAGCCCGATGCGGGGCTCGATCCCAGGACCCTGGGATCAAGACTGAGCCACCCAGGCGCCCCAAGGCTGATATATTTTAAAATGAATATTAGTACCTGGACCGTTTCCCATCAGTACTCTTTTCTAAAAAACATTCTTAAAGAAAAATCCCCGGGGCGCCTGGGTGGCTCAGTCGGTTAAGCGACTGCCTTCGGCTCAGGTCATGATCCTGGAGTCCCGGGATCGAGTCCCGCATCGGGCTCCCTGCTCGGCGGGGAGCCTGCTTCTCCCTCTGACCCTCCCCCCTCTCATGTGCTCTCTCTCTCACTCTCTCAAATAAATGAATAAATAAAATCTTAAAAAAAAAAAAATCCCCAAAATGTAACAAAAATCATACTTAAGGATTCTGACACTTTCTTAAAGGAGTATTATATTTTTTCATTTATTTTTTTCCAAAAGATTATCATTAGTGTTACCCAAAAGCAACTTATTTCCTATGATTCCTAACATAGCACAGAGCACATATTCATTTAAAAGATATGTAAATAGGGGTGCCTGGGTGGCTCAGTCGTTAGGCGTCTGCCTTTGGCTCAGGTCATGATCCCAGGGTCCTGGGATCGAGCCCCACATTGGGCTCCCTGCTCAGCGGGGAGCCTGCTTCTCTCCCTCCCACTCCCCCTGCTTGTGTTCCTGCTCTCGCTCTCTCTCTCTCTCTGTCAAATAAATAATAAAATCTTTAAAAAATAAATAAATAAATAAATAAAATAAAAGATATGTAAATAGTAAGGAGTGCCTGGCTGGTTTATTCAGTGGAGCATGCGACTCATAATCTTGGGGTTGTAAATTCAAGCCCCATGTTGGGTGTAGAGATTGTTTAAAAATAAAATATACATAACGTACTTTGGGCAATTAACTCCAAATCTAGAGGAGTTCTGAGCCTTTTAGGACTGCTTTTGAAATTGAGAAAGTGTTAAAATCAAGTGTATGTGTTTTGTTTTTGTTTTTTTAAGATTTGTTTATTTAGAGAGAGAGAGCACAAGGTAGGGTAGGGGCAGAGAGAGGGAGACAAGCAGACTCCCTGCTGAGCAGGGAGCCCTACCCAGGGCTCAGTTCCAGGACCCCAAGATCATGACCTGAGCCAAAACCAAGAGTCAGATGCTTAACCTACTGAGCCACCCAGGCACCCCATTAAACAATAATAATAATAATTCTCTCACAGCCCAGTTGTTTTCATAGTACCATTTTTAATGACTTCACAGTAGTATTCCACTATAGGGATGTACAATCCCATAATTATTTGCCCAACAATTGTGTTTGATACACAGTTTTATTTTTTAAATTGAATTTTATGTCATGTTGTTTTCAGTTTTATGTGATAACAAGCAATACTGCACAATCGTTTAACACTTGTAATTATTTTCTTAGAATGAATGGAATCATAGTAATGGAATTGCTGAGTCAGAGCATGGCCTGGATTTTCAGGCTTGTGATACATAAAAATGCTAACAGTTCTCTAGAAAGATGATAACGAAGATGATCAGCAGCAGCATAGGAGAATGCTCTTTTCCCAGCTCCTTCTTAACATGGTGATAGTATTGGTTGCTATATTTTTTAATACTTAACAAGTTGCGTAAAATAGTCATAATTTTTTTTTTTTTTTTTTTGCGAGAGAGAGAATGAGAGACAGAGAGCATGAGAGGGGAGTGGGTCAGAGGGAGAAGCAGACTCCCCGCTGAGCAGGGAGCCTGATGTGGGACTCAATCCCGGGACTCCAGGATCATGACCTGAGCCGAAGGCAGTCGCTTAACCAACTGAGCCACCCAGGCGCCCTAGTCATAATTGTTTTTAATGTATATTTATTTACTTAGATTATCACTCATTTTTAAACATTATAAACAAATTAATAAACTTTTAATTTGGACAGATTTTAGATCAGTGATTTCCTAACCTGGTTGTACTCCAGAATCAGCCAGGAAGCTTTAAAATTCAGATACATTTCCAAAGCAGCTCTGATTTAGAGCATATAGTAACAGTGTAAAAGTCCTAATGAATAAATCAGCTTCCCTCAGGCTATTGTCTTTACTGTGACATACTAACAAAGTGCATGAAAAACGTGGTCTTTTTTTTTTTTAAAGATTTTATTTATTTATTTATTTATTTATTTATTTATTTATTTATTTATTTATTTATTTATTTATTTGACAGAGAGAGACACAGCGAGAGAGGGAGCACAAGCAGGGGGAGTGGGAGAGAGAGAAGCAGGCTTCCCGCAGAGCAGGGAGCCCGATGCGGGGCTCGATCCCAGAACCTGGGATCATGACCTGAGCTGAAGGCAGAGGCTTAAGGACTGAGCCACCGAGGTGCCCCTAAAAATGTGGTCTTTTTTGATACTTTAATCACTAACATTTTATGTTACTCTTAAGCATTTGTAATTCCTTTTTTTTTTTTTTAAGATTTTATTTATTTGACAGAGAAACACAGTGAGAGAGGGAACACAAGCAGGCAGAGGGAGAGGGAGAAGCAGGCTTCCCGTGGAGCAGGGAGCTCGATGCAGGGCTCAGTGCGGGGCTCGATCCCAGGACCCTGGGATCATGACTTCAGCCAAAGGCAGACGCTTAACGACTGAGCCATCCAGGCGCCCCAAGCATTTGTAATTCTTTTTAAAGATTTTTTTTTTTTAATTTTTTTTTTTTTTTTTTTTTTGAGACAGAGAGAATGAGAGAGAGAGAGCACATGAGAGGGGGGAGGGTCAGAGGCAGAAGCAGGCTCCCTGCCGAGCAGGGAGCCCGATGCGGGACTCGATCCAGGGACTCCAGGATCATGACCTGAGCCGAAGGCAGTCGCTTAACCAACTGAGCCACCCAGGCGCCCCAAGCATTTGTAATTCTTGACCTTTCTAATTTGTTCATGATACATTTGTTGAAGAGAATCAACTCAATGGTCATGGATTTTTTTTTCAGTGATAATAATTGTTTTATAAAGGTACTATTTTGAAAATATTTTATTCACCAAGCAATATTATGGAACACTTAGGGAATTGTTATTTTGGGATTCGCTGGTATTTTCAGTGATACCAGTTAATATTTTAGAGGTGAAGAATTTGATTACTAAAATCATTTGATTACTAAAACCATATCAGCTTGTTAAGAAAATGTTTGATAGATAACTTGAATTTATTTTTAGACTCCTCACTTGAATCTTTTGGTTTTTTTTCCAAGGGTATTATAATCTAATCTTTGTGATATACTAGTTGGCTACCATGGAAACAGTGGTCATGATGTGACAATTTATGTTTTGTTAGATGCTAGCACTGATTTTGTTACGTAAGTCTGGTTCCTGTATTTTTCCACTTTGATCTATGGATCTTATTAAAAATAGGAGATAATAGCTTCTATCTCTTACAGTAAACATGATGTAATAATTGTGTTTGATGCACAGATTTATTTTTTATATTAAGTTTTATGTCTTACTCTTTAATACACTAGACTTAAATATAAACCTAGTTATCATATGTAGTTTCCAGTCCAACAATTGCCAGGTTGTCATATTTTGATAGGTTTGGAAATATGGGCTATTCCCAAATGATGTAGAGATACTTTTTTTTTTTTAAGGGTTTTATTTATTTGAGACAAAAAGAACGCACGCGTGCACAAGCACGAATGCGGGGAGGGGTAGAGGGACTAGCAGACTCCCCACTGAAGCTGAATACAGAGCCTGAGATCATGACCTGAGCCAGTCAGACGCTTAACTGATTGAGCCACCCAGGCGCCCCTAGGGATACTTAATGGTGATTTGTTCCCCCCAGCACTCTCATTTATAGACTTTACATCCTGTAAAAAAATGAGCATATGTGTTTGCTCTGGAAAACAAGATACCGAATTTCTTAAAGGTGGTTTTAGGCAATTTACTTAGTAAAAGTAGTTCTGGATTGATTGCAATAGATATACCTTAAGGTTAGGCAAAATTAGGTTATTTCTCATTAGGACAGAGTATCACTGGAGTTTGTTTTAGTAAATAAAGGAACCTATGTTATCATCTTAAGGAATTTTCACATGGAGCCTTTCCTTGAAGGATTTAATTTCTTATGTTATTTACTTATTAAAACATTCTCCAAAGTGGACAGAATAAATTTTGGGACTCAGTAATATTGATTTTCTCCTTTAGCAGACAAGCAGCTATAAAAGATGATTTGAGATTTTTACCTTTGGTATTAGGATTAGGATTAGATTGTAATTATCCATGTCTTTCCATAGTTTATGCTGATCTGCGTTTGTAATTTTATAGAGAATTTTTGAGTTAAATTATAACCCACTATCCTGTAATGCTTGGTTAAATTTGTTTCTTTGTTGTATAAATATAATTGGGAGTTTATTTTGTTCTGTGGGCTTACATTACTGATTTTGACCATTTCCAAAAAGGTAGACTTGATAAATTCTGGCTGTTGATCAGTTATGTCTTTATCTCTGAAATACATTTATCATATTATCTGAAAGACAACAGTTAAAAGTTGAATGTTGTGATTCTCTTCAGAGATGAGTTTAAGGATGTTTGTTTCGGGGCGCCTGGGTGGCTCAGTCATTAAGCGTCTGCCTTCGGCTCAGATCATGATCCCACGATTCTGGGATTGAGCCCTGTGTCAGGCTGTCAGGTTCCCTGCTCCGTGGGAAGGCTGCTTCTCCCTCTCCCCCTCCCTCTGCTTGTGTTCCCTCTCTCGCTGTGTCTCTCTCTGTCAAATAAATAAATAAAATCTTTTTTTTTTTTAAGGGATGTTTGTTTTCTTCTTTATACTCTTCACGAATTATGTTGCAATCAGAAAAATTTAAGAAGCTTTCCAAAGAAATACTGTCTAGCCATTAAAAAGAATAAGCAGGTGGGTTATAGTGACACAAATATATATATGAGGTAATGTCATTGAAAAAGAACACTAAATACCACAATTACCACAGTTGTATTTTATGTGCCTTGAAAAATATAGGAAGTAAATTTGGAGTGAAAGAGATAATTTAATATTTATTAGAGTCCCTTTTTTTTCTATAAAAGGTCCATAAATTCTTACCAACACTAAAATTATTGCACCCTTGAGAAATGTTTTCAATGTGTGCCCTTTTTTTTATAGTATACATAAAAGCTATCAGATACCCAGGTAACATTTATATTCTCTTCATTCATCAGGGGAAAAGAATTTCTTTTTACAAACGGGCCCAAATCCTCGTGGCAGATACGTGGAGTGTGTTAGAGGGGAAAGGAGACGGCTGCTTTAAAGACATCTCCAGTATCACCATGTTTGCCGACTATAGATTACCTCAGGTTCTTGTTCACCTCGGAGCGCTGTACTACTCCAAGGAACTACTGGAAAAGCTTCTCAAAGGTTTGCCAGCTTAAGACATTCTTTGTTATACTATGAATTGTGATTGAGTCTCTGTCTTGTTTCTTTCACAGAAGTTCTCCTTTCCTTTAAAAAAAAAAAGCACTGTTTATTGTTAAAAGCACATGTAAAGGGGCACCTGGGTGGCTCAGTCAGTTGAGAGTCTGCCTTCGGTTCAGGTCATGGTCCCAAGGTCCTGGGATCAAGCCCCGCATCAGTCTCTCTGCTCAGCGGGGAGCCTGCTTCTCCTTCCTCTGCCTGCCGCTCTTCCTGCTGTGCTCTCTCTCTGTCAAATAAATAAATAAAATCTTAAAAAAAAAAAGGCACATGTAAAGAAAAATGCAGGGACAATTGAAGTAAGAGAAAATCACTTTTTTTTTAAAGATTTTATTTACTTATTTATTTGACAGAGAGAGAGGGAACACAAGCAGGGGGAGTGGGAGAGGGAGAAGCAGACTCCCCGCTGAGCAGGGAGCCCGACTGGGGGCTCGATCCCAGGACCCTGGGATCATGACCTGAGCTGAAGGCAGATACTTAATGACTGAGCCACCCAGGCGCCCCGAAAATTGCTTTTTGTTGTTGTTTACACTGTAGAATGTAGGGAATTACACTATTTAGTCATAGTTTCAGAGCCTCATCTTAAAATGAAACTGAAGTTTCTGTTACCTGAAGGTGTGTGATGGATGCTAGGTCCATCAGGTGTAGTATTTGAAGAGTGTTAATTAAGCAGCGAAGCGCACACTACACTATGAAATAAAAGGTGGCCTGAGATAGGTAACATGCAGTGGGTTTCAAGTCAGGAGGCTCCAACGTCTGCCACTGGGTTACCTTGCATGAGTCATTTGCTTTTCTAGGCTCATTTATTTATCATTATTGGATTCAGTTATTGATTCCCAAGAGCGGGAGCCTTGTTATAATAAATGAGCATAGAAAATTATGTTTGTGTGAAAATCAGCTTTTTTTAAAGTTTTTATTTAAATTCTAATTCGTTAACATAGAGTGTAATATTGGTTTCAGGGGTAGAATTTAATGATTAGCTTTTTGGGTTTTTTTGGTTTTTTTTTTTAAAGATTTTATTTATTTATTTGAGAGAGAGAATGAGAGAGAGCACATGAGAGGGGGAGGGTCAGAGGGAGAAGCAGACTCCCCGCCGAGCAGGGAGCCCGATGCGGGACTCGATCCAGGGACTCCAGGATCGTGACCTGAGCCGAAGGCAGTCGCTTAACCAACTGAGCCACCCAGGCGCCCTAGCTTTTTGTTTTTTAAACATGTCTTTGTATAAGAAAAATAATTATATAATTTTCACGTTAAGTTCTCTCTTTTGAATGCAGTATTTTCAGCTATTTTTTTAATTTTAGAAGAAAGTAGTTGTTTGCTTGTTTTTTTAAGATTTTATTTATTTATTTGAGAGAGAGCGTGCATGCACAAGCAAGGGAAGGGGCAGAGGAAGAGGGAGAAGCTGACTCCCCACTGAGCCGGGAGCCCGATGTGGGGCTCAGTGTGGGGCTTGATCCCAGGACCCCAGGATCAAAGGCTGAGCCAAAGGCAAAGGCTGAGCCAAAGGCAAACGCCTAACTGACTGAGCCACCTAGGCACCCCAAAGCAGGTAGTTTTTATGACTGAATAATTTTCTCTTGTGAAATAGATTTCAATCACCCAAAATAAGAATAACACAGAATATAAAGAATATAAATTATTGCTGTGGTTGCTTCTACCAGTTTTTATGCTGCCTTGGGCAATCCATTTTATCCCTCTGTTTCTTCATTTGAAAATAAAGCTATCTTACGTTGTAATGATCATGTCCTGGATCATTAATTATTGGATACCAAACATTTAAGCATTCGGGGCTTCTTTTCCATGTAGCCATATGCAGCTGATCTTTTTTTGGCCGGTCTGTCCACTGCTGGTTCCTATCCATAACCATTCTCTTGCCTGGTTTCCCTCACCCACATTTTCTTTTTTTTTCCAGTTCAATTCCTACACATCCATGAGAGCTTAGCTCAAATACTATCTCCTCCACATAGCTTTTTCCAGCTTTTCATGATTTGTGCACCTCCTCCTTCTGAATGTTTATAGCACCCAATTGTCTCTGCTACTGTGGGGGAAACCCTGCTGAGAACGGATCATGTGGCACAACCGTACAGAGTGGTCTGAATTTTCTTCTGCCATCCATTGCAACTGCAGAGGCCCTCTTCCAGATGTCCAGCTGCAGCTGTTGTTACTGCCTCTGTTATACCCAGAGCGTGATCTCATTTCTTTGCCTCTTAGTTTATTTAAGCAAAGTTGGATTTTTTTCAAAAAGTACTTCATTAGCAAACTTAGAGGAGAAACAGAAACTATAAACGTAAAGGAGTACACACAAGGATAGCACACTAGTTTTTAAAAACTATCTGAAGTGAAATCTAGAACCAGGTAACTTGACTAGATGGGGTAGAACCTTCCTTAACTGGCCTTCAGTGATACTTCTTCCAAATTTGAGGATAGGTTACACTTATATATGTATATTTTTTTCCTCTCTCCTCTTCTGAATATCTCCAGGCTAGCCCTTGGAAAACCTACCCAGATTTCCATCCATTTTATCTTTTTTTGGGGGGTGGTGGTGGTAAATACAGTCTTTTCACTTTATTTTAATATGAATTTAGATTCTTTTTTTTTCTGTCCATTTTATCTTTAACCCATCTCTTCACCAAAGGCATATTTTTTTAGCCAGTTATAAATACTGCCAATCCAGTTTGGCTAAATTTATATTCTTCACTCTGATTCTAGGGCTGACACCAGTCATGGTATTTAAGGCCCACCCTAATCCAGTATGACCTTATCTTGATTACATCTGCAAAGATGCTATTTACAAGTAGGGCCACATTCACCTGTACCAGGAGTTAGGGCTTGAATGTGACTTTTTGGAGGACACAGTTCAATACTACAGTTACTTATTGGATGGAGGGGACGTAAGTAATGCTATTTAAGATCCCAGGTGCGACAGTGGGCCCTAGTGGGGCTGGGGCATTGTCCTACTTTTCAGTGGATCACAGGGCCTCCTAGGTACTATGAAGCTCTGTGGAAGGCTGCAGATTGGTGGTCAGAGGCCAAATATAACCTGCAGGTGTGTTTTGTTTGGCCTGACCAGTGTTTTAAGCACTTTTAGTTACTTACTAACCTTGACAATTAGGAGATTTCACATGAAAATCAGACTTTTTTTTTTTTTTTTTTTTAAGTGGACTCCACACCCAACATGGGGCTTGAAACTACGACCCTGAAATCAAGAGTCCCATGCTCTACCAACTGAGCCAGGCAGGCACCCCAAAAATCAAACTTTCTGACTTCACTTGTAAAAGGGGGAGAAATATGGGGACACTGGGTCTACCATTAGACAGGGCAGCACACATTCTGTAGCTCACGACAGTTTGCATCTGGCTGTGGCATTCCCTTACTCTGTCTCCCTGATCCTTAGAGGCAGTTGAGTTGATGAGCCCAGTTTTAGCCTCAGTGGCAAAGTACAGCCAGTACCCATCTTGCAGGATCAGCTACACCCCGGAGATGGGCACTGAAGAGACTTGTGGGGCCTGTGAAGCTCTCAGCTACATATTCAGGGAGGGCTTGACCAAAGGATCCTGAATCCAAAGAACAGTGGTGGTCTTCCTTGCTCAGGTGAACAACTTTGATTTCTTAGGTTCTGCTTGATGCACTTAGGACGTACCTAAGACAATGTTCAGTTTTCAAGTGAGAAAGGGAGGTATTGTTTATTTGGCCCCCTTGGAGTCCTCCAAATTTTGCAATGTTTTTTTTTTTTTTTTCTGACATCAAATCCAATTTTAAATCCTTTGTTTTCAAGAATTTAATAATCTTGCTGTCATATTTTTAAATTTCTGGTGACCCCATGTTCATTTAGCAGCTATTTATTGGGGAGCGTATGTGCAAGGTGCTCTGCTACCTCCCAGGAATAGTGACGCAAGCCAGACACGGCCCCTGCCCTTGTGGAATGTGCAATTTTGAATTAATGCCTGAGTTTAGAAGTGGTTTAAATGACCCCAAATCAAGTCCGTGTAGATTTTTTGTTATTGATGCTTAGTACTTGCTCTGTTTTTTTTCCCCCTTGCAGGAGAAATGCTCTCGTATGGGGATAGGCAAGAGGTGGAAATCAGAGGGTGCTCACTTTGGTGTGTTGAACTGATCCGGGATTGCCTTCTGAAGCTTATTGAAAAAAAGGGTGAAAAAACTAGCGGAGAGATCAATTCTATTCTTCTGGATTATTACTTGTGGGACTACGCCCGTGACCACCGGGAAGATATGAAGGGAATTCCCTTTCATCACACACGCTGCATATATTATTGATCCAAAGTAAACTTGCATTTTTGTATCACATAATCATTTGTACAGTTTCGCCTTAATATTAAGAGAAGGTAGGGGTGCCTGGGTGGCTCAGTCGGTTAAGTGTCTGCCTTCGGCTCAGATCATGATCCCAGAGTCCTGGGATCAAGCCCCATATGGGGCTCTCTGCTCAGTGGGGAGTCTGCTGCTCTCTCTCCCACTCCCCCTGCTTGTGTTCCCTCTCTCGCAGTCAAATAAATAAAATCTTTAAAAAAAGGAAAAAAAAAAAAGAGAAGGTAGTAGACGTTACAGCAACAAGACAAGTGATTACCCAGTCTCACTTAAAAAATTTTTCCTGACCCATCACTCTGCATTCCCAACTTTGTCCTTTGTCTGCTTGTTGAGTTTTGATTGTATTTTTCTTTTCTGTGGGCACATGACAGGAAAAATGAAGGAATTGTGATGCTCTCTTTAAAGCTCACATCTCTTAAAATTAATCATGCCTTGGGCTCCTGGGTGGCTCAGTTGGTTAAGTGACTGCCTTCAGCTCAGGTCATGATCCCAGGGTTCTGGGATCAAGTCCCACATCAGGCTCGCCCTGCTCTGCAGGGAGCCTGCTTCTCCCTCTGCCTCTGCCTGCCACTCCCCTGCTTGTGCTCTCTCTCTCTCTGTGTCAAATAAATAAATAAATAAATAAATAAATAAAATCTTAAAAAAAAAATTAATCATGCCTTATAATGTGATTAGTCATCAGTGATAATATTTCATCCGTTCAATTGGTATCTTTTCTCAGGGTGTACTAATTTCTTATATACCTTGATCCTTTGATATGGGGGGATAGGGTCTTAGCTGTATGAATGCTGCGGCTTTTGTATAAATCAATCTTGACAGCTTATTTTCAGCTTTTTATTGGTATTGACAGTGGGTTTTGCACATAGTGATTTTCAGTTTAGGAAATCTATCTAATATTCCTTTTTTTTTTTTTTTTTTCAGTGTAACTATACTGAAATTGAATAAAAGTTTTAAAATTTTTTCTTAAACCCGGAATGGATTATTTCATTAAAATAGAATTTACCACATATAATTTTAAAAGGTTTGCAGTGAGGGGTGCCTGGGTGGCTCAGTTGGTTAAGCATCCTAACTCTTGATCTCAGGATTGTGAGTTTAAGCCCTGCTGTTGGGCTCCACGCTGGGTGTAGAGCCTACTTTAAAAAAAAAAAAAAAAAAGGTTTTAAGTGAATTTGATTATTTGCTTTATGTTGCAGACATTTTGTTGCCTACCAAGCACTCATTTCCCACCTTCAGCCCCACCGTCCTTCTAACATAATCTTGATTTTTGTTAGCTACCAACCTTGTCAGCTAGCCGTGACTTTGTGTGAATTCGAAAAGGCATCCTTTTCCCCAAGCACTTTACTGCCATCTGCTGAAAATTTATCATACTAACCTTACAAATGACAGTGACTGAATGTGAAGGTGCCTGGCCCGCACCCCTCCCCCTTTCCCGGTACCCCCCGCCCCCCCCTTGTGCACTGCACAACTAGCACCACCATAAGCAGTGCTTTGTTTTTATCCCTCCCTTATGTGACTCAGGGAAGGTGGTCCCGTCTTCATCTCAAAAGGTAGACCGGCCTAATATGAAAGGTTTATTGATAATCCTATCCTCTGCCTGTGATTGCTTTAGTAATGGGTATATAATCTGGCCAGTGACATTGGAGGAAAGTCTGCGGGGGAAGCTTCTGGGAAAAGGTTTCTTCACTTTGAAGAAAGAGATAGAGGAGAAGGTCCCTCTTCTCCTCTGAGCAGAGTTCTGTCTGAACTCGATGCCTGAAGCTGTTAGTAGCCCTTGTGTGGAGCCAGAGCCGGCGCCCCTCCCCTGCTGCACCTGTCCCAGCTACTGACCTCATTCCTGAGGTGATGGACATATTGCCTGATTGCCACCATTTTCAGTGGGTCTTCTGTAACTTGGAGTAGAATGTATCAAAATGAATAGTTTGCAACTTAACCCGCTCTCAGGGGACTCCTCCTCCTGCTGCCTTCCTGCCCCTCTCCCTCTCCTTGGGTCCCCTCCATCCTTGGGAGCTCTGTATTAACCCTCAATAAACTTTGCTTTGCTGCCCACCACTCTTCATCTGATCTACCTCTTCATTCCTCGAAGTGGCGGGACCAACAAATTCTGGCACTAAGGGAAAAGAAATCCTGCAACATTAGTTCTTATTCCTTTGTGACTCAATTCCTTTTAATGAAGCTTTTGCTCTGTAACAAGTTCAAAAACATTTTGGCTTTTTTTTTTTTTCATATTTCATAAATTCTTCAGTGGCTACCTGATGATTTGCCTCCCTCTATAAACTCAAGTAAGTCGGCCATGGGACCAAGTTAGTGCCCTCCCACCGAAGCAAACAGGTTGGGTTAATGACTTGTCACTGCATGAAGTGTCTCAGTAAGAGGATGATTTGGGGGAGGGTCTAAGGATGCAGTGCTCTCTCTAGATTGGATGCTGTCAGAAAACAGGGGCAATCGGACCTTTGGCTCTCTCAGTAAATCTCATCTATAAAGAGAGGGCTAGGGCAAGGAAGAAGTGGAAGCCGTCCAGCAGATGCCACTCATTCACCAAGATAGAAGGATGTTTGGTACTGTGTGTGTGGCCCAACGGCCTTGTTTTTGTCTGTGCTTGGACAACATTATCAAGCAGCCTTATTTCATCTCACTTTTTCAGTCTTGATGTTGGTATTCTGGGAGACTGTTCAACAGGAGCATACCATGGGGTGCTGTGAGGGCCAGCTTTCCCAAGGGCTGCGTTCGTTCCTTTCACAACCTTTACCTTCCCCCTGGCTAGCACTAAAGAAATGAATAGATTTCATTCGATTTCATTCAGAAATCATTTATTGAGCTCCTTCCCCGTGCTCCCTCCCCTGAAGCTGAATGGGTCATGCTTTAATAATCTGGTTGAGGAGGTACAGGTTGAATGAACCACAGCAGATGATGTAGGAATCAGCCTTGAGGCAACTTCACCTTCTTTTTCCTTGTGAGTCTGTGACCCATCTCTCTCAGTGTACTTAGGTCACTTTTTCCTTTTTTTTTTTTTTTTTTAACTTTGGTTGATTCTTAGCCATTCGGTGGATGCCATTGTCAAAGACAAAACCTGCTCAAGTAAGGAAGTTGGTCTTGTTCCGCACATTGTACCATGAATAACACCCCAGATCCAAAGATTAGAGTCTCCTGGCAGGGTGGTGGTGCCTTAGACTTTTCTAGGGAGGAGTAGACACGTTACAGGTTGGGGGGGAGGGGATTTACAGGTGGGGTTGTTTTGCAGTCAGAAGGCTCACTTCACTGAACGGGATTTCCCAGTGCTTATCTCGCTGTCTAGCTGGTTTCGGGGAGACAGACGGTTCTAACCTCAGCTAATCATTAACAACACAAAGAATGAGGGATTAGAGGGGCAGTGTCTGGCTGTGTTAGCAGATTTAAGCAAAAGGGGAAGGATCTGTGTTGGGCCTTGTCACCGGTGAACAAGGGAAACGTGAGAAAGAGTTAATATATTGTCTTGTTTAAGTCACTTAGAGAAGGGTGCTCCTTTTGGATAGACTGTTTCCCAGAACATAAAAGGATGGGGGATTTCATTAAACAAAAGGTTGGAGAGATTTCTTAATGTCACTGTTTTCTGGAAATACAGAGTCCAGGTAAAGTTGAACATTGTCACCATCAACCCTTTCTTGTGCTTGGGTATTGGCTGGAAACAAAGTAGGCTGTCATGGCCTGGGCAACATTTTTATTTGCTCATTTATTTTATTTGTTCCCAAACCATGGGAGGTAATGACTCTCAAAGTAAGGAAGTCTAGAATTGTGAGTTCTCCACAGTATAAAATGTCTAGAGTTAGGATCCAAAGTTCTGGGCTCCCCTCAGGGGAATCATTATATGCTCCCTGCCTTGTTCTGTCATCAACTTTTGAACAAATCAGCTAAAATCTCTGTGCCTGTTTAATTCACATATGAAATGGGATAATCTAACTCTGATTTTTTAGTTCTGGTTACAATTTCCTTTTTTAATCATTTTGTAGAATGTATGCATGCCTCAAACCATTTATAGGATCAGGTAGGATGAGACTGGTGGTTAATTTTATATGGCTAGGCTACAGTGCCCAGTTTTTGGTCAAACACCAGTCTAGATGTTGCTGTGCAGGTATTTTTTAGATGTGATTGACATTTACAATCAATAGAGGAATAAAGCAGCTACACTCTATTAAATGGGTGGGCCTCATCCAATCAGTTGAAGGCCTTAAGAGCAAAAACAGGTTTTTCAGAAGAAGAAACAACTCTACCTCAAGACTGAAACATAGAAACCCTGCCTCAGTTCTCCACTTGCTGGTATGCAGATTTTATTTTTATTTTTTATTTTTTTATTTTTTCTTTTAGAGGGAAAGAGTGTGTGCATGCACAAGCACTTGGAGGGGGGGAAGAGTGGGGAGGAAGGGAGGGAGAAGGAGAGAGAGAACCTTAAACAGGCTGTACACCCAGCATGAAGCCCAATGTGGGCTGACCCTGAGATCATGACCTGAGCCAAAATCAAGAGTCAGATGCTTAACTGACTGACCCACCCAGGGACCCCTGGCCTGCAGAATTTGGTCTGAAGACTATAACATCAATTCTTATCTGAATATCCAGTTTGCTAGCTTGCCCACCAGGTTTTGGGCTTGCCAGCACCCTGCCAATTCCTTAAAATAAATCTCACTTTCTCTCTGTCTAGATGGATTGATGGATGGATAGATATAGATTATATATCTATGTCTATCTTTATCTCTATATATTCTATTGGTTCCGTTTCTTTGGAGAACCCTAATACAGGTATGAATAAGTAATGTGGCAAAATAACTCTTGTCTAACTCAAGAATATTGAATATAAAATAAAAAATTAATAAACGCATGGCAACACTAAATCATTTGCAAGATTCCTTTCCTGTATAAAATTCACTGACTCAAGTCATTGGAAGTTTGAAGAAATACATTATTGTGGCATTCATCGAAGTTTCTCTTTTTCCTATAAACTACATTCCTTCTTTTCTTTTTCCTTTCTGTTTTGATTTATCCCACTGGGTTTAGGATATTTTAGTTTCTTTTCTTTTTTTTTTTTTTAAGATTTTATTTATTTGACAGAGAGAGAGAGAGCGAGAGCAGGAACACAAGCAGGGGGAGTGGGAGAGGGAGAAGGAGACTCCCTGCCGGGCAGGGAGCCCGATGTGGGACTTGATCCCAGGACCCTGGGATCATGACCTGAGCCGAAGGCAGACGCTTAACGATTGAGCCACCCAGGTGCCCCTAGGATATTTTAGTTTCAAGTGAAAGAAACCAGACTGAAACCAGCTTAATGAAAAAGGAAATGTAATGATAAAAAAACCACCCAAAACCCAGATAAGTCCAGGGAAAGAGCTGGCCTTCACCATACCCAGTTATGGTCCAGGGATTAAAATGCACAAAGACCACATCTTGTATTTCTTTTTTGCTCTGTTGGAGGAGATCACTCTAATAGCTAGTGATTCCAGGCCACAGAATGCAAATCTTTGCCAGTAGCACAAGCAAAAATCCGGGGCTTGGCTGACAAGCCTGGCTTAGGTCCCAGGTCCCTGTGGCCTGAGGCAAAGGCCAAGTGATTGGCTGGCCTACCAGGTGGAGCAGGGGCAGTTCTTGAAGAAATAGAGAGGGGGTCTGCTTCTAGAAAGGAAGAGGAATGGTAGGTAGCCCCAAACCTTGTCTTCTACACCTTTGTATGTTCAGAATTCTTCGGCAGATCGGGATCATTTCAAGTTGGCAACTGCCGAGGAAGAGCTAGGAAAAGGGTAAGGCTGCATTCTGAATTGATCCAAGGAAAGAAATAATACAATTTCCTATCTGGAGGTGGGAAAAACCTAGTAACTCCCTTCCTTCAATATTCGATTTTAATGTTCTCAGGATAGACTAAGGATTGGTTGGCAGATGAATTAATTAGTATTCTTTGGTTGTGGGAATGGAATTCAATTATTAAGGCTCAGTAACTTTGATGAAGGCTGAGTTAAAATGAAAAGAAACAGTAGCTCCCAATGGTGTTTAATAAGAAGTCTAGAAATACTTTGAGGAGTGGTGAAAATGGCCTTTGGATGGCAAGTAAAAAATATAAAACCTATGAGTTCATAATCACTCTGCCCCCACTCCAGAAGAAGAACCCTATTGGTTGACTTTAGAGCTTGGTAGGGACCAGTTCATTATTCTCAAAATCAATCAGTGAAAGGGAAAAAAAAAATCAAGCATGCATCCTGTCATTCCTAACTGCTGTACTATTTTCAGGATAACCCGATAGAGGGAAAGCTCTTCTTATAAAACAATTCCAGCTAATAAATGCAAAAAAGGATATTAGAATTAGAACATTACCATTTTGGAAGCCCTAATAAAATAATAGATCCAGAAAATGATCATCAGTGTCTGTTAAAACCATTAGGTAAAATGTTAATGGGGAAATTTTTAAATGGATGGATTAGGCTGGAGGCATCTGAACTCACTCGTAATTTTTATTTTATTTTTTTAAAAGATTTTATTTATTTATTTGACAGAGAGAGAGAGACAGTGAGAGAGGGAACACAAGCAGGGGGAGTGGGAGAGGGAGAAGCAGGCTTCTGGCGGAGCAGGGAGCCTGATGTGGGGCTCGATCCCAGGACCCCAGGACCACGACCCTAGCCAAAGGCAGATGCCTAACGACTGAGCCACCCAGGTGCCCCTCACTTGCAATTTTTAACAACACTGAAAGCGGGATATGCAGACACTATGTGCCTCCTGGTGTGTTGCAATAGGAAGTACACAGTCCTGTGTATGAATTATTCTTGGCAGAAAAATTGAACCTGAATCTAATCAGGAATCTAGATCTAACTACTAGTTTTCAGGAAATGTAGGAAATACAAGAACAAGGTAAAATGAAATGACAACACAAAGATGCGATTGCCAAATCTAAGAATGTGAGATGTTCTAAAGGACAGATGGGCACTGTTTTTTCAATAGATCATTTGTTTGTTTGTCTGTGTGTGTTTTAAAGGCGGGAATTGGCATGGGTGTGGAGAAAAGGGAACCCTTGTGCACTGTTGGTGGGAATGTAAATTGACGCAGCCACTCTGGAAACAGTATGGCAGTTCCACAAAAAATTAGAAATAGAATTACTACATGATCCAGCAATGACGCTTTTGGGTATACATCCAAAAAAATTGAAAGCAGGATCTTGAAGAAATATGTACACACCCTTGTTCATAGCAGCATTACTCACAATAGTCAAAAGTTGGAAACAACTTAATTGTCCAATGGAAGATGGGTGGACAAACAAAATGTAGTCTATCCATACACTGAAATATTACTCAGCCTTAAAAAGGAAGGACATTCTGACACATGCTACAACATGGATGAATCTTGAGAGCCTTGAGTTGTTGATTAACGGGTATAGAGTTTTGCAAAATAAAGAGAGTTCTGGAGATTGGTTGCACAACAGTGTGAATGTCCTCAACACTATTGAACTGTACGCTTAAAAATGGTTAAGATGGAAAATTTCATGTAATGTGTATTTAACCACAAATTTGAAAAAGACAGGGGGTAACTGTTACTGATTATGAGAGAATGAAAGGCCATATCAACCCAATGCTACATGTGGACCATGTTTGGATCCTGATTTGAGCAAATAAACTGTTAGAGAGTGAGCGAGGGAGAGCGATGCATTATGTAGAAAGCCACAACTCAGCTCAGCCTTTCGGGAGGCAGCGTTGACTTTGTCATCCAACACACATAGGCTGCAGTCTTCCCTCTGCCACTTACCAACCATGTAGCATTGAGCAAATTACTTGTTTTCTGGTTTTGATTTTTTAAATTTCTGTAAACACTTACTGAATCTCTGCAATGAGCTTAATATTTACTATCTATTAAATACTGACTATGCTCAACAATGTGGACATAAAAATAAATAAAACATGGTCTCTGCGGATACTGGAGGATTGATCAATGCAAGAGAATAAAGATCCCCTCAAATAAGCCCATGAATATGTGGGAATTTGTCCCATTTCATTGATTCTAAGACAATTTTTTTTCACATTTTTCACATTTCACTTCAACTTATATGAACTGTATGAAATATATTTTCTTATTCAAGATCATCTGATTTGGGGTTTCTGTTACTTGTAACATAAAGCACACTAACGATAAACTTTTCAACGAAGTCTTTTTTTATTTTTAAGTAACCCAGAGTTGGTTTTTGTTCCTTGGAACCAAGACTAATTAATTCAACTATAAAAATGATTTTAACCCAGTATTGCTGATGGTTATCATTTTGGTGAGTTTTGTTGAATATTTTTACTATCTAATGTTCTTACGTGTGAATTTCTCCCCTGAACGAAATTGAAAAAATTATTGTCATTCTAGCTACCTAACAATTTTTGAGTAATTATTCCTACTTTCAAACCTCACAACAACCCTGTGAAGTAGGGATGAGTTTTATCCCAATTCTTCAGGTGAAAAAACTTGGTATTATTTTGTATCCTTATTTGAAGTATTTTCCTATACCAATTTTTTGTAAACATGAGTTTCAATGAATAGATAATATTATTTTATAAATGTACCATTAATTTATCAATCCCTTTCATTGAACATTTATGTAGTTTCCAAGTTTTTGCTATTACAAATAGTATAATAAACATTCGTGCACACAATTCTTTTTTTTTAAAGATTTTATTTGTTTGAGAGAGACAGAACAAGTGGGAAGGGGGAAAGGGCAGAGGGAGAGGGGAAGCAGACTTCCCGCTGAGCAGAGAGCCGGATTCAGGACCCTAGGATCATGACCTGAGGCAAAGGCAGACGCTTTACCACCTGAGCCACCCAGGCGCCCCAAGCATGTCATTCTTTATCCATGTATCTATTTTCTCAGGAAGATGACAAGAGGTGGGATTATGTATAAAAGTGACTCTTGCTAAATGCTTGTGGGTTACATTATGAAAAGTTGCTGTCAACTTTACAGGTGAGAATGGTTTATTATTTTAATTTGCATTGCTTGGTTTATTAGTGAAGCAAAATGCCATTGGCATGCAAGCCAGACTTCAGTTTTCTTCTAATCTTCTGCCTTCCAGGTCCACAGGGCCAGTCTCTGGTTTTGTCCAGCACTAGACTGGACTTGGGGACTGGCATATCTTTAAGTTCCTACAAAAAACCCTCGGTCACAAATGCCTCAGTTAGCAATGCTGACTTTACTGAAGATTTTGCCGGAGAGAGGGAGGAAGGGTTCACTTTGCACACCTCTCAGCATACAGCCTAAGGATCCTGTTAGCCATTTCTGTTCTTCCTGAACCTCCCTTACCAGCCGTCTTCTCCCTCCTCTCTGCTTCAGCCTCTTCCCAACACCTTCCCCTCCCTCCATCTTACTTATTTCTTTTCAAGAGCAGTCAAATAATTCTTCTCCTGGTCTCATATAAACAATATTATTCTTTTTTTCTGAAGCCTGGGCACCAACCAACTCAAACGGAGCTGTAGGCTCCAAAGGGTCTCCTCAGCAAGATTGTGTCTCTCTGGACAGCGCTTTCTCGTTTCAGCTATTAAAGGTAATATCTCCATGGCTTTGAACGTGGACTTCAACTACCTCCATTGTGACCTCAAACTTTCTTCCTTTTCTTTTTATTTATTTATTTTAGAGCGAGGTGGAGGAGGGGCAGAGGGAGAGAGTCTTAAGCAGACTCCGGGCTTGAAGCACAGAGCCTGGCTCCGGACATGGAGCCCCATGCGGGGCTCGATCTCACAACCCCGAGATCAGGACCGGAGCCCAAACGACTGCGCCACCCAGGTGCCCCATTGACCTCAAACTTTCTAATGAAGTTCTTCTTTCCAACTTATCTCTAACTCAGGCAAAGGATCCTGTGGGCAAAGCATCCCCTGAGGGGAACAAAACCTACCCCCTCAAGCAATGACAACTGCCCTGAGCCAGCAAGACCCCGTGTGATTGACCCCAAGGAATGGTGGATTAGATTTTCACTGCCCACCTGCACATATCCTATCACTTTTTTTTTTTTAAGATTTTATTTATTTATTTGAGAGAGCGAGAATGAGAGAGAGTACATGAGATGGGGAAGGGTCAGAGGGAGAAGCTGGCTCCCCGCCGAGCAGGGAGCCCGATGCGGGACTCGATCCAGGGACTCCAGGATCATGACCTGAGCCGAAGGCAGTCGCTTAACCAACTGAGCCACCCAGGCGCCCGAGGCCTGGTAACTTTTAACTGAATCTTGGGCATTTTATTTTATTTTTAAAAAGATTTTATTTATTTATTTTTTAAGATTTTGTTTATTTGGGAGAGAGAGCATGAGAGGGGGGAGGGTCAGAGGGAGAAGCACACTCCCTGCCGAGCAGGGAGCCTGATGCGGGACTCGATCCCGGGACTCCAGGATCATGACCTGAGCCGAAGGCAGTTGCTTAACCAACTGAGCCACCCAGGCGCCCTATCCTATCACTTTTGCTGCACATATTCCTTATATCAACTTGGAAGCATTTTCAGCACCTTGGGGACAGTCTTTGAGATGCTAGTCCGCTATCTTTCCGGTGTTGGCCTCACTGAAATAAATTCCTTTCCTGTTTCACCACCAATTGTCTCTCTGCCTTCAGATTTTGTCAGCGGCCAGTGGCCAAACTGGTCTGTTTGGGACCCCTGGAGCCAGGTGCTTCCTGAAAATAGCATGGTCCTGCAAAAACTTTTGTAAGCCAAATGGTGTGAAGTGAAGAAGCAACTACCATTAAATTTTATGGAAAAATTTTGACCATTCCCAAACCCCAAAAATGACCTGTTGTAATTCCTCTCTGATACCTTAGGACACATCTTGCTAACAAATGCACAAAATAAATCAAGATAAAGCACAGATGCTCACAGACACACTCAAAACTATGGCGGCTTGATGCCCAGGTGCTAAGTGTGGTTTCCCTGAAGGCGACTCTCTTCTCCCGGGGTGCCCACTGCCTCTGTAACGGTTGGTTGCAAAATAAACGCTGAACCTTATTTTGACTTTCACCTTTTATCATAAAATCGAAAATCCTCTTTGGATTTCTTCCATTTAGCAAAAAGAGATAGTAATGTAAGTTCTTCAGCCAAGAGGCATAGTGTGAACTTTTGAAAAGCAGGGGATACCTGTAATTCAATTTAATAACTAAGTAGCTTTTTTCCCCCACCTTCATTCCTAAGTTTCATGAGAGAAGGGATGCTTTTTGAAAGTTACTTAAAAAAAAAGAAGAAGAAACATCTCTTGGAAGAAAATGCTTGGATTGTGCTTCTAAAAATGGGGAGGCATTAAGGCATTTAAAACTAGATTGGAAAAGTTAAACATAGAATTATCATATGACCTGGCAATCCCATTCCTAAGTCTATACCAAAAGAACTGAGAACAGATACTAAACAAATACTGGTACGTGAAAGTTCCTAACAGCATTATTCATATTAGCCAAAAAGTGGAAACAGTTCACATGTCCATCAGGTGATGAACTGATAAATACAATGTGGTATGCCCACACAATGGGATATTATTCAGCAAAAAAAGGAATAAAATTACTGATACATGCTACAACATGGGTGGAGGAGGAAAACATTGTTTAGCAAAAGAAGCCGGACACAAAAGGCCACAAATTGTATGATTTGGTGAATCAAAAATGCCCCAAACAGGTAAATCGATACAGAGAAAGCGGACTGGTGGTTGCCAGGGACTGTGGGAGAGGGGAATGGGAGTGACTGTTTATTGACACGGGGATTTCCTTTTGGGGTGATGAAAATGTTTTGGAACCAGAGGTGATGGTTGCACAACTTTGTGAATGCCTAATGTACACCTTAAAACGGTTTGATGTATGTCACGTGAACTTTACTTCAATAAAAAGAAGTGGAATTGGCTGCAAAAATACTGAAACAACGTGAGTCTTTCTCACATTCATTTTGCACACCGGCGGGGGGTTACTTTGGTTCCGCACTCTGCGAGAGGTCCCAGTGAGTTGGCTTTGTAGCCACGCCCGGAGCTGGCCTCCCCGCCCGGTGGGGCGGGGCTTGTGGGGGCGGGGCTCGCCGGGGACGGGCCTCGTCGGGGCGGGGTCTGGGGCGCGGCGGAGCGCCCGGCCGGGAGGGGGCGCGTCCGGGACTGGTCTCGCCGGTTGCCCGGAGAACCCGCGACAACAAAAGGCCCGAGCTGCGGCGGCGGCGGCGGCGGCGGCCGGGCGGAGCGAAGCTGGGTAGTCCTGCCCTGGGCTAGCCGCCGGAGACCGGGGCTTTCTCGAGCTGGGCAGTGAGTGGAGGGCCGGCCTGGCGGGGCACGGGGCGGGGCGGCGCCCTCCCGCCCTACTGCCCGCCGCGCCCGCGCTCCAGCCCGCCGTTGCGGAGGGGGGGCGCCGCCCAGGGGTAGGGGGTCGGGCGCCGCTGCGGGACGGCTCGTGGGGTGGGGGCGGTTGGGGCGCCTGCAAGCCGAGGAGGGCGCCGCAGGGGGCTGGGGTCGGTGCCGGAACCCCGCCGAACGGCCGGGGTAAGTGGGGTCCCCCGTGAGATAGAAGGGCCCGGGGATTAGGGACGCGCGGGAACGCCGGACGGAACCGCACTAAGTCAGATCCTGTGTTTCTGGAGCTGGTGCTTCCAGCTGCCTCCTGGGGGTTTCGTTTTGTCACCGGCCTCCCTTTTCCATGCGGATATTGAAACTTTGGTGCAACCCAAGCGCCGTAGAAGTCTGAAAGTCTCCTCCCTCAGAGGCAGGTTTCGTTGAGAAAGAACGGTGCCCAGGTTCTTTCGTTGAAACACCTTTTAAATAACCCTTCGCCCCCTCCAAGTTTTCAAATGTTTGTTTTTCCACTTGACGTTCTCTATTCTCTCTCTAGTTATTTATGCATTTGTGACCTGTTCTGAGATACTTTTGCGATTCACTGTCCATTTGCTGGGAAGTTTCTTACGGAAATATTAGCAGAGCAAAATTTTTAGACAACCACTACTTCTGAAAAATCACGGGCACTGGATGGCAACCGTATTTGGAGACACTTCTTTCTGATCAGCGACATGGCATCAGTGATCAAAGATTCTCTTGCTTTTCTCCGATTTCAAAACTCCATGGAGTATGCCTAAATATTGCCAGCCAATCAGATTTCACCTTTCTTTACTTTTATTGGTGACATAATACATATTCTTCTGATGACTGCAGTTGATCAGAATCTAAAGTTTAAGTGCTATGGATTTTTTTTTTTTAAGATTTTATTTATTTATTTGACAGAGACACAGTGAGAGAGGGAACACAAGCAGGGGGAGTGGGAGGGGGAGAAGCAGGCGTCCTGCGAAGCACGGAGCCCGATGCAGGGCTCGATCCCAGGACCGTGAGATCATGACCTGAGCGGAAGGCAGACACTTAACGACTGAGCCACCCAGGCGCCCCAACCATGGATTTTTTAATACTTAAATTCTTGGATACTAATTTTTGGCAAGCCACAGATTTAGGGGACCTTATTTATTAGAAAAGATAGAATTTCTTTTGCCTTTTTAGCAAAACTTTCCCATTATAAAAACCAAGAAAGTGAAAATATCCCAGTTACATTGCACCTTTTATTAGCAGTTTTGTTGGAAATAGGTTTGGCTTAACAAAGACCATGACTTTTGTTTTAACGTGATAGCATAAATAAAAAAAATAATCTGTATAATAAAAACTTCAAATATAGATGTTTAAAGATACTTGGAAGAACCAACTCATACAGCATCCTTGTAGTTTATTTGGAAAAGTTTCTAGTACCAAGTGATTGCAGAGTCCTTTAGGATCCAAAAAAGGTATATCATACATATGAATATTTTTTCACAGCTGACTTTAGTTAGAATGATTAAAACTGCCAAGGTTAGGTGCATCTCTTTATTGTGGCCATTAAATATAGCATGTTGACTCAGGATTTGCAGCCCAAGGGAGCTGATTTTTTTCTTCTTTACTCTCAGTGGGCTTTTAGAGTGATGTATTTGTTATTGTGATCCTTTTCAGACTGTCCACTCACAAAATTATAATGCACAGTACTGCTGCAGAGTTTTTTAAAGGCTAGTGAATATTAAATATGTATTAACATTTCCATAGTAAGTAGGGCTGAAAATGTTTTTTTAGTCTATTAATGGTCTACTAGGCTACTTAATGATACTGTGGAAGACTCTTTTCCAAAGCTGGCTGCATCATTTTACATTTCCATCTGGAGTATGTGATGTTTCCGTATTCTATACGTTCTCACCAACACTTGTTTTGTTTTGTTTTTTAAATTTTATTTATTTATTTGAGAGAGAGAGTGGGAGAGAGAGAGCACCAGAGGCAGGAGGGTGAGAGGGAGAAGCTGACTCCCCAATGAGTAGGGAGCCCGATGCGGGCTTGATCCCGGGACTCTGGAATCATGACTTGACCCAAAGGTAGACGCCCAACTGACTGAGCCACCCAGGCGCCCCTCACCAACACTTGAACTGACTGAGCCACCCAGGAGCCCCTCACCAACACTTGTTTTGATCTGTCTTAAAAAAATTTTTTTAAATATTAATATCCATCTTTTTAAAAATTGAGGTGTATTTAACACACAGTGTTACATTAGTTTCAGGTGTACAGACAAGTCTATATGGTATGCCGTGCTCACCCCAAGTGCAGCTATGATCTGTCATTGTACAATGCTATTGCAATACCACTGACCCTATGCTGTGCTTTTTATCCCTGTGACTCATTCATTTCATAACTGGAAGACTGTATCTCCCACTGCCCTTCACCCATTTTGCCCACCCCACAACCTGCTACCTGCTACAAACCATCAGTTTGTTCTCTGTATTTATGGGTCTGATTCTGCTTTTTATTTGTTTGTTTGTTTGTTTTGTGTTTTTAGATTCTACATATAAGGGAAATCATATGGGGGGCACCTGGCTGGCTCAGTCTGTTGAGCATGCAGTTCTTAGTCTCACACGTGAGACTCGAGCCCCACATTGCGTGTAGAGGTTACTTAAAATAAATAAATAAACATTAAAAAGAAAGGAAAAAATAATATGGTATTTGTCTTTCTCTGACTTATTTCACTTAACATAATACCCTCTAGGTTCATCCATGTTGTTGCAAATGGCAGGATTTCATTCACTTTTATGGCTGAGTAATATTCCATTGCATATATATACCACATCTTCTTTATCCATTAATTTATTTTTATTTTTATTTTTAAAGATTTTATTTATTTATTCATGAGACACACACAGAGAGAGAGAGGCAGGCTTCCCACAGAGCAGGGAGCCCGATGTGGGACTCGATCCCAGGAGCCCAGGATCATGACCTGAGCTGAAGGCAGACGCTTAACCGACTGAGCCACCCATGCGCCCTCCATTAATTTGTTGATGGACACTTGGGTTGCTTCCATATCTTGGCTATTGTAAATAATGCTAATAAGCATAGTGGTACATAGATCTTTTTGAATTAGTGTTTTTGTATTCTTTGGGTAAAATACCCAGTAGTGCAATTAGTGGATCATAGGGTAGTTCTATTTTTAATGTTTTGAGGAAGCGCCATACTGTTTTCCAGAGTGACTGCACTAGTTCACATTCCCACCGATCATGCTTGAGGGTTCCTTTTTCTCCACATTCTTGCTAACACTTGTTATTTCTTGTCTTTTGATTCTAGCCATTCTGACAGGTGTTAAGTGATACCTCATTGTGGGTTTGATTGCATTTCCCTGCTGGCTAATGATGTTGAGCATCTTTGCATGTGCTTATTAACCATTTTTCATATCTTTGAGGAAAAAAAGATTTAAATTTGCTCAAATTCATTTCATCTGTTCTTCCTTATAAAGCTTATTGCTTTTGCTTTTGGTGTTATACCTGAGAAACCGTTGCCAAACCCAAGGTTACCAAGAGTTACCCCTATGTTTTCTTCTAAGAGTTTTATGAGTTTTAGCTCTTACACTTAGGTCTGCGAATGATTTTGAGTTAACTTTGTATATGATGTGAAGTAGGAGTCCAATTTCATTCTTAGCACGTGGATATCCAGTTTGTGTCAACCATTTGTTGAAAAGCCTGTTCTTTCCCCCACTGAATTGTCTTGGCGCTCTTGTCAATAATCATTTGCCCATAAATATGAGTATTTATTGGGACACCTGGGTAGCTCAGTTGGTTAAGCATCTGCCTTTGGCTCAGGTCATGCTCCTTGCTTGGCTGGGAGCCTGCTTCTCCCTCTGCCTGCCACTCCCCCTGCTTGTGCTCTCTCTCCCCTCTCTCTGACAAATAAATAAATAAAATCTTAAAAAAATATATAGGGATTTATTTCTGGATTCTCAGTTCTTTTCCATTGATCTTTAAGTTTGTCTTATACCAGTATCATACTGTCTTGATTCCTGTTGCTTGTCTTTAGACTTGGGGAAGTGTGTCCTCTGACCTTGTTCTTTTTCAATATTATTTTAGCTATTCTGTGTCCCTTGGATTTCCATATGAATTTTAGGATCAATCAATATATAAAATATTTTAAAAAAAGAATTTTAGGATCAGCTTGTCAATTTTGCAAAGAAGTCAGCTGGGATTCTGATAGGCGTTGCATTTGAATCTGTAGATAAAAATTTGGGGAATATTGTCATCTTAACAGTGTTTTAAGTCTTTCAACCCACGAACATGAGATGTTTTTTGATGTATTTAGATCTTCTTTACTTTCTTTAACAATATTTTATAGTCTTCAGAGTATAAGTTTTACATGTCTTTCATTAAATTTTTATTTCCAAGTATTTTATCCTTTTTGATGCTACTATAAATGGAATTGTTTTCTTAATTTATTTTTCAGGTTCATTGTAAGTATAGCTACCAACTTAGGTTCCCCCCCCCCCCCCCCGCATGGCTTTCTTGATTTGTGTTTCTTTTTCTTTTTTTTTTTATTAGCATATATTATTTATTTCAGGGGTACAGGTCTGTGATTCATCAGTCTTACACAGTTCACAGTGCTCACC